GCTCTATTTTCAGTTCATTGTATTGGCTCGTACTTTTACGAATATGAGTAGATCCTGAATTAAGATCTGGTAATAATTTGTATACTTTGAGTACTCTACAGTATTGATTTTGAAAGTATTTTCTCAGGTGTTTACAAAGTTAGCCAATGTATGTTTGAAATTAGCATGGTTATATTTAAAATATTCACAGCGGCACGAGAACCAAGATCAGGACGAGTTTCATGCAACACTTGGAAGAAGTGTTATAAATAGTGGCACTTTGAAGTATGTACAACTTTTCGGTGTTTTATTTCACATGAAGCGCTTTCACAATCTCACCACTTAAATAATAAAAAGATGTTTCATTAATTTTCTCCGTCTAACATCACGTGGTCCATTTTTTTCTTCCTTTCACGGTTGAGAAATTGCGTCCTCCCATTTTATTTTTAAATTTCGATGTCACGATTCGTCATTCGTCGACCATGTGCTATGCATCTGGTCGCATACCTTATCAATGAAACGAGTTTTACTACAGATGCTTAGAAATTTTGGCATCGCCACTGCTCGTGAACAATAGTCTAAAAATATGTTTTGTTTGCGTTGTTATAATCCTCATTGCCGGAATCGCCCCACTGTCTCTATTGGAGGAAGTGAGCTTTGTTTTTGCACTATAAGAATAATTGGCAGAGATTTAAAAGCTCTTGTAGTAGCAAATAAGAGTTTCATGAATCATAAACTTTTTATTGTGTCTTCTTAGGAATGATGTTGATGTAATAAAATTTATTTGGAATCTTTAGAAGAAGGTTAAAAAAGAAATGTGAGTAATATAAAAACGATTCAAAAACAAACCGAAATAAAAATTGTCAAACATCAGAGATAATCTATAAGATGCTTATAAAATTTTTGCCAAAGAATTCTTAATATTTTAAATTTTATTTTTGCTAAATAAATAGATGTTTAAGTTGGATAAGTAATTTCAAATAACTCCAAGTTAATAACATGGGAAAGTTTTCGGTGCAGTATTAATGTCGGATTATACTTCAATAACTTCCAAAACTCATTTAGATGGTATTCATAAAAACAAGTTGAAATCCTTTATTTCGGACCAAGAATTACCTTTTTACGATTTCAAAGCGGGATTTTTGGCTTGTAAGGGGTGTCTACCCCATCCCGCTTTTATTAAAGTCTCCTGTACTTGGCAAAGCTCCAAAACTGTCGCGCGACACTTAGGAGTCGACTCTACGAAGGACTATAAGATAAAATTTTTTCTTTTAATTATGTTTTACAGCACGGTTCTCAGTTGCCAAGTACGCCGGTATTATTAGAATATATTTTCAGTAAAACCCTGGTGAGAATTATCAAATACGATCATTTACATTAATTTATTTATTAAGTTGCTATTTTTTATTACTTCATTTTCTTTTATCGTTTTATTGTTTAAGAGAACCATTAAAGCGCAGTTTATTAGCCGTGACATAACAACGACACTGTACACTTTTAATTGCCACAAACGCAATTCTAAATTGACTACTTCTAATAGTTTGTAGAACACCAATTAATGCCAGAGCGAATTATACGTAGTGTCGTGATGATCTCAATAGCTTAATTAAGTACGCTACCATGATCCTGAGGCGATCTTCTCAACTTGCGTGCCATTTCCAATTCCAAGCTTACAAATTACCATGACCTTTGTCTTGCTTTCGTTTATAATATGGTTAATAACAAAATAACTCGTTAGTGAAATGAATTGAAGGCTGGAGTAATTTGATAATGTTATACGGAGCTTTATTAATTTATCCTTGAGAAAAGATTTAAAAAAAGTAATCTTTGTTGAGATAAATTTCACTTGCATCGCAACATGTTAGTATATTTTTAATAGTGGACGCAGCAAATAATGGATTTATAACTTCGCTAATGGTGGACAACTTCTGGCAGTTTTGATTTAGGATATTCATGAAGTGAGTTTAAGTTAATGAAAGCAGTAATTTCACATTTCTTGGGTGTATTATATGTTAGTAAACGAAATTGAATGTTTAATTGCATGAACACTCTTGTTATAAGTTTAGAGAAGGTTCCAAAAATGTTCACATTAAATACAATACGTATTTGAGTGAGTCGATAAGAGTTTGACAACAATTTGGATGACTTGTTCGGCATTGCACGCGCGGCTGCGCTTGAATTAGTAGAAATCAATGCAACAGAGCAACAGAGAACCAAATCAATCATTTAGCTGGAGTAGATAAAAATGCAAGACGCGGAATGGTTTTACAACTCCAAAATAAGAAATTAATGTTAAATTAACAGCTTAATAGATCTCCACCAAAGTAGAGGCATCTTATCAAAGGTGGTTAACCGCACCTAGAATTAATAACATTGCCTCGAACAATAGAACTAATCTAAAATAAGGAATAAATAAAAAGATTTTTAAGCTCAAAATTACTGAGAATTGCATGTTGGAATGCAACATTTTTAAACGACAAAAACCAAGAAATCACAAGGATAATAGTCGATCAAATTCGACATTCACTTTCTGTCAAATCACAAATAAATCCATTGCGTTCGACAAATCAGCTTTTATGCGGTTCATAAATCTTACATAATTGTACGACAAGGTGAGATTAACTGATGTATTAGAACAATAGAAGAAGAGAAATGTAGACCGACATATTCTCAAAATCACAAAATCTTACAGTATCTAGATAACCAAGATAACCCTCTTGATAACCCTCTTGGTAATTGTATATCAAAGTGTGGAACTGGAAAAGAAGTTTCAAATACCTGAGAGTCTGCATAACCAGCATTACTTGAAGACAGAAGTATACGCTCAAACAACTAAAGCAGCAATTATATCGGGGTATCTACGTAATATAATATGGAGAAACAAAACGTATGAGAATCAAATGTAAGGTAAGAATAAACAACAAAACATGTTTAAGACACATCATGACATTCGCCGTAAAAACAACAACGGAAAATGTCAACTTGAAAAAGCTGTAATAACTTAATAAGTGTTCTTCTCTATTAAGTATAGGGAAGATTGGTAAAGGTGATCAATTAATAATTAAAGACTGTATCGTTGTCTTAACTTCTATTTGACTTCTTTGTAACTATATCTTTTACAATTAATTACACTATACTTATACAAGACTTACTGCTAACGTAGCACAACAAACCTTGTTATGTTTGTCGTACTAACCTTATTAAATAACCTTATTACTCCTAACCTACTTAATATTAATAGCAACATTACTATTAGTCATACCTTACAAAGCTCTTAAAGTCTATTGAAATGAGGAGGAAGACCACCGAAACGTGGAATTATAAGTAAGCATAGACGTGTGTCTGTTCGTTCTGACATCCTAATTTAAGCCATGCGTCCAAAGTATTTTGACAGTAAACTCATCTTGCAAGCAAAGATTGGTGCTTTTTGGAGTCTGTAAAGGTTTACGATAAGATTGATAAAGCATCTTGAAAGCAATTTTACAGAAAATCAGTCAATTTGGCTATGATGTTGACGACGTCTAGCACGAAATTTCATGGTATCATCACGGTTAAAGGGGAACAAAAGCAGATTATAGATCGCGGTGATCATCACGAAACAAGTGAATAGGTTGCATAGGTTGACGGAATTGAAGGAGAATGCAAAGGGACAAATTTTTAACTATCTTATAATGAAGATTATAAAATAAACTATAAAAACTATGCAAGAAATGAACCTGTATTAGTTACTCAACTAGATTTTCGCTGTAGTTCTTTGTAAAACAGAGCATGGCATTATAACTATTACCTTCATTTCTTCTTCCACTCATATCCAACCTGAAATTTGTTTGTTCCAATTTTGAATGTTATAGTTGATTTCCATTTAACGTTTTCGATACTATTTTCTTAATAATTACTGCATTCACAATTTTTTCATATATTCCTTATAGAGTTTGTTTTTCTTTTTCTTTTGTTGTAACTTCTTTTCTGTTACCTGTTTAAGTGAATATAATATGATCTTGTATACTCCAGCGATTTCTAAAATCACTTGGCGCATCGCCTAGTGTTGGTCTATTGTTGGCTGTAATGTCTTGATCAGTTCCATATTGATATGAACACCGCATGCGACTTCGGCTTAATCGGATAAAATCAGTGTTAAAATAGTTGTGAAATTGTGTTTACTTATTTCCTAACTTATTCCTAATAAATTTCTGATAGATTAAAATAGAGGAGATATTTGGGTCGTTCCCGTTCGTTAAGTTAGAACATATATGATTTGAGATAAAATCGTTGATAGATTCCTCATAAATATCCTTAACTATGGGCGATAAAATTAGTTTTATAACTTATCATTTTATGTGTTAAATATAAAAGACAGCAAAAATAAACAAAACCCGCCAATTTGTAATAAAAGGCAATGAGGTTAGTTTGAAGTTGTACTACACAGACACATAATAAAAGTAATGTTGGTTACACATTTAATCAAATTAACTCTAAAGAGAATACGCAACTGGTATTTTTAACATCCTATTATAAAATTGTTTTTAACTTGGAATATGCACTAGTTTATTCATTAAATAAATTAGTTTATATAATAATAATTTGATGTAAAAGCTTCACTGTTGCACAAGTAGAAGTAAAAAGTTACCATAATGGATGGGTCACTAGAAATCGAGAAAATACGTTAAAAAAGCTCACAGACTGTGAGCGAGAGACGTTTCATATAAAAACCGCGAAAATTTACAGCCCATTTCTCGAAAGAAATTGGATCGTCGGAGGCCGGTAAGAGGCATCATAAAATCCACTTCGTTATTGTTATCCTACGCTGTAAATAGCCCGTATGGGCCGCAGTTGAGCACGCTAAGGGATAATCTGGAGTCGTGTAGATCTGTCGATAGTGCCGCTCAAGTTTTTCGTTTAAACGGGGCGATAACAGCGCGACCCTTGACAATTGCGAAAGTTGGTACGTTATCCACATGTTGTAGCATTCGCGACGAGCAATAAAGCTTTACCATGTCCTTATTCTTCTTTTTCTTTTCTAGTTCCAATGAAGGTGATTTGGGGTGTACCTGCAAAAGATGTGGAATTGCCGTGCGATGTTACTCCTCCGCTTCCATCCGATTCTGTAACAATGGTATTTTGGTACAAAGATGAAGGAACAATGGCTATGTATAGGTAAGCTGTTTCCAATATTTTTGCCATTGTATTCTTACAATTTCTATAATACTTTATAAAGTATAATGATGCTTATTATTCCGCAACTCTTTGTGTTATTGTAAACCATATTTTTAAGTTATAAAAATAATTTGTTTATCATTTGGCAATCCAAGCCTTTAGATAATACTGAATTTCGTGTCGTATTCATTTTGAATATAACCGCTCCAAATCGAATTGCCTTTTTGATAATATTTTATAGGATAATATTTTTTTCCGTTTGAGCATCAAAAGGATGTCCCAAATGCTGTTATTTACGGTCGGAAAAAGCGCGCGCCTGCGGAATTTATTTGTTGTACCACGTATAGGCGACCAATTGTTCCCCAATAATTGTTGTCTATTTTCCATAAAAACGAAAAATCGGCAGATAAAATTTATTTGTGGGTCGGGCGTGATCGTTCGTTTATCGAACCTTTCTGCTGAACGGCCCGTTGCGTCGTTCTATATATACATATATATAATTTTTTCATTTTTAATTTGAAAAATTCTAACGCTTCGATACGAAATACAAAATAAATATTAGCGTTCGAATATACGTGGCTGAAATTTAAAATTCGTTCAATCGAAGCCCTTTTTTAATATCACCGCGTAGCAATTAATTTTTATACCTCAACGAAACGGACAGCTATCGGACACTAATCATGTCGCACTAATTTGGCTGTATACTAATAAATCAACGTTAACATGCGACATTTTCAAAAATGCTTGGTCTGCAACGCAGTTCGATTGCTCGCCTACGATGATTTGTAATGAAGCAGATAAATACGTTATTAATATATTAATCAAAATTGGCAATTGCAAGCGAACGTTTAATTCACGAATGTATTTATTCTAATTGATTTATGCGTTATTTATATAACGTTGGGCGGACGTGCGCGAAGGTTTATTAATTTCGAAAGCGGCAGCCGCGTTTGCCCGTGTTTACACGGTTAATTCGTCCAAATCGGGTAATAATTCGAGTGCTATTCAACTAGCACCGCCGGTGTAATTAACATTAAATGCGTTCGGCCACGTAATTTTTGATATTAATGCTACGAGTGGCTTCAAAATCTGACGAATGCCGAGTGGATATTACAATAAATTTCGAACCCTACTGGCTCGAATAAAATTTATTATCGATTGTCGCCCCCTACGACAAGAAACAATGCTATAAATCCGGGCTTCTCTTGTTCGATCCGGATAATTATTCAAACGTTCGGCCCGACTATATTGCGTAATTTAATCCTACGGTTTCGATTGTTGTTTAATGTACAGTGGTGCAATTGCTTTCCGTGCCTCTGCTGTCCATTTTCTATCAAGCCGCCATTGTTGTTTATCTTCGTTACTAGGCTTAAACGTAACCAAACAGAACATCCCTCCTAATGACAACACGACTCAGAAGCATCGACCATTTACAGCGTATTGATTGTGACTTAGGCTCATTCAAATTATTTTTATAACACCTCACTTCATTAAAATTTTACTAAACATTATAAAAAATAATGATAGATTGTAAAAACAAACAATGTTTTTTACTCCAGTATATTTAATCCACTCTATCGGTTTCGGCCTAGACCATCGACAGGAGTCTATAAGGTTGTAAACATTCATAAAAATACAATTAGAATAAAGACTAAATTAAAAATAAAATGTTCCTTTAACTCGTCGTATAAAGTTGAGGTTTGGAAACACATGTAGTACATTTTAAATGTGTGAACTTACGGATTGTACAATAAAATGATGTATTGAAATTGACGTAAAATAAATGTTTTAACAACTATTGCATCACTAAAACTTAGAAAAAACCCAAAAATAGAGATGTAGGAGAGGTGACAAATGAAACGTATAAATATCAAATGGATCAATCAGGTGGATCAGGTGAGCGCGTCGTTTACATCAAGAGCGCATGTGTGGAAAGGTCTATTAATAAACTGGGTTAAAATGGTTTAAAATAAAATGGAATTTAGTTATAGAACGGCACTGTAGGAATGATTAGGATAAGGGATAAAATAAGGGAAGAAGGAAAAAGGAAAAATTTGTGTGAAAAACCAGTTGGATTGTATTTTTCGTGTGCATTAAATGTTTGGATTTTATGTTGTATGAGTTTGATAGGAATCTGTATAGGGGGATGTATACATGTACCTGGTCATTTAAATTCTCGGTGTTTGTATACAGGATGGTCCATTTAACGTGAGACAAGCGATTATCTCGAAACCGTTATTGGTTCATTTTTATGTAAAATGAAGCAATAACATTTTTTGACATTGACCTTATTTGCAAGGTTATATGAAGGTCACAACCAATTTTTTAAATGGCACCCTATATATTTTATTGTATAGTATAATTCAAACAAATTTTACTGTGTTATTTTGCCAGTACAACGGCAAAACATCTTTTGAGAAAAATTGAAATCTTCAGAAACAATTAACTGACGGTTATAATGTAGCAAGAACAAATAAGATTTATGAATTTTTAAACTTTTTCCTACCCGCTTCGATACATTGTCTCTAGTTCTTAATTCTTAGAATACTATTTAAGAATGCTCAACAAAAAAATCCAGAAGAGGTATATACATTGGGTGACCTGGCTCGTCGGAAATACCTTTGGAAAGAAATCTAAAAGGTTCCGACATTTCTCCGCCTTTGTCAATTTGATAATAGAATAGCGCATAAAAAAACGAGAGTTCGTGGAACTGCTTATGTCAGCCTTTTCAGAATATCGCTTTCAGTGACGAATTTTTAATTGGTTGAATTGTTTTAAAATGTAATAGGTAAACTAAAGTTGCATAAAAACTGCTTGGCAACAAATTCTGAATTCATTGCATCGTTTTACATTAAGGAAAAGTGTCTAAACTAAGTCATTAAATCATGGATACTCTAAGTGTGGCAGAAAAAGCCGAAATAATTTTTATTTATCGAGAAAGTGGCAGAAAAGTTGCTGATAATATAGCTTTGTATCGAGAACGTTTTTCTGGTCGAAATACTCCTTCGAGAAGTACCGTTTACAGAGTTGTGAATGATTTCGCTAACACTGGAAATGTGGAATCAAGAAAAAGAACTCTGCGAGCAACTGTAACTACGAAAGAAAAGGAAATTGCGGTATAACGTCATACCAACATTACTTGTAGATTTGAGCAGGGAAGAAAGACAAAATATGTGGCTGCAAAATGGGTGTCCAGCACATTTTTCACATATTGCACGTGAAGCTTTAGATCGGGATTATGCTGGGCGATGGATTGAAAGGGGAGGTCCAATTTCCTGGCCTGCCAGATCACCTGATTTAACACCTCTTGATTTTTTTTTGTGGGGCGTCCTGAAGGATAGTGTTTATCGGGAAGTACCGACTACGCCAGAAAACATGAAAGAGCGGATTATGAAATTATTTCAATGCATGCAGAAATAGTAGCCAAGAAAACCTTTTAAGATGTAAAGAAAGTTTTAGTAGAAGGGTTAATAAACGTATTGAAGTGGATGGGGAATATTTGAAAATTTATTATGAATTTTATATTTGTTGTTGTTTAATGGTATAGTTTAATAGTTTTTTTTAATAAACAATATTTAAAATTATTTCAACAACAAAATTATTTGGATTTTGTCCACAAAAGTTGTTTCGCCGTCGTACTGGTAAAACGAACGGTAATTCTTTTTTTTTAGTTTTGTTACTTTTATCCATAGATTCAGATTTTGATCGCATTTAAAAAATTGGTCGTGACCATCATATGACCTTAAAAATGAGGTCCAGGTCAAAAAGTGGTATCGTCATATGGTTTCCCCCTTTGCACAGAACAACTTTTATTTGGTGCATTTTTATGTAAAATGAATCGTTTTCGAGATAATCGCTTGTCTCACGTTAAATGGACCATCCTGTATGTGTTTCGGACTTTGTAAGAGTAAGTCGTTTGTAAGAAAGTGTCTGCCGAAATTTGAATTTTTCATTATGTTTATGTTCTTTAACTCGTTGTCTAATGTTTCTTCCCGTTTCGACAACGTATGTTGCTCCGCAAGTATCGAATTGGAGTGAGTAAACGCCGCTTTTAGATAGTGGATCAATCTGGTCTTTTGCATTATTTAGGATCTGTAATAGAGTTGAGATTGTTTTGAGCGTGATTTTTATGTTGTATCTTTTGAAAATTCTTTGTATGTTTATTGCAAGGTTGCCAGGATAATTTATGGGTCTGTACAGGATTGATTCTTTATTTTCAGGTGACAAAATTTTATTTATGTCACAGTTCATGTGTTTTTTGTATGTTTAGTGAGTAGATTATCTATAATTTGAGGTGGAAAATTATTGTTATGTGCGATGTTCTTAGTTATTTGTAGCTCTTGGTCTTTAAAATTTTTTGTCAATGGTGTTTCATGTAGACGATGTATCTATGAGTTGAAAGCAGCATTGTGTCTATGGTGGTGAAAGGAGTCTGCAAGTGTTACTGCATCTGATTCAGTAGGATTCCTGTATATGTTGTATTCAATCCTATTTCCAACCTTTTTCAGAGTAAGATCCAAGAAATTAATGGTTTCATTCATCATTGTATTCATAAATTTCTCCATTGAATTGGCAAAAATTAATTTATTGGTATTAGTTCTATTTAGACGTGTTTTCAGGTAATTGTGAACTATGGTTAAGGTTTCGTGGATAGGTATGTTAGTATCGAGGTTAGTGATATCAAACGAGACCATTTGAAAGATATGAGGGAGGTTAATCTTAGAAATTGCTTCCAGCAATTCCTTTCTATTTTTGATCGTGTTAGCCGGTCTATATTGTAACTGTCTGGTGATAAAAAGATTAATGAATCTGACGATTTTCTGAGTACTTGAGTTGACAGATGTGATTATGGGGCAAACAGGATGGTTTTCTTTATGTAATTTTATGGTTGAATACAGCATAGGAATTCTAGGATTCATCGGTGAGGTTCCTACCCTCAACTTTATACGACGAGGTAAATTTTTATGAATGTTTACAACCTTATAGACTCCTGACCATGGTCTACTAGTCCGAAACCGATAGAGTCGATTATAATATATTGTCGATATCAAATATATTGGAGTAAAAAACATTGTTTGCTTTTACAATCTATCATTAAAATATACTATTATGGATGAAAACCCATTTATCTATTATAAAAAATAATTGTAGTGGCCTCCAAGTTATTACACAAATTATTACAAATTATTACAATTACAAATTATTTCGATTTTTTCTGACATACTCCAACAGAGTTGAACTTAGTCTACTGTTACTATGCGCATAGCTACTCGATCCTGAGTCTAATGACAAGCAAAAACCTGGAAAAGGTATTAACTTTTACAACTTAACTAAAAGAGGAGTTGATATAGTGGATAAACTTACAGAAAATAAGAGCAACTTAGAGAAAAGCGAACAAACTCTGTAATAGCTGGAAATCAACGGAACACTTTTGCCGATTATACTGCTATAATAGCTGGACATACCTAGATCACGAAGAAGTGGCAATATAATACCCGAACCAGATTAAAAGAGTCAAGAGGATCAAACCCTACGAGCTGGTGTAGTTTGCGTTCATGCAAAAGCATAGTACACATTAATATTGATGTAATGAATTTCGCTTGAGACCGAGCCTCAGCGATAATAACTATCTGAGAAACTTAGCTTATCAAATTGCAGGGCTTCTGCCACATGCGATCTCGGTTTAATCAGAAAGCGATCTGCAACTCATGCTATTGTTAGAATGAATTTAAATTAAAAACATTGAATGTCATTTCTCTTATTTATAGAGAAACCCAGAAGTGTTTTTTAATAAATTGATCACTTTATAATAATAAAAAATTATCTCATTATATTTATTAATATATTTTTATCTTATAAAAGGAACTACATGTTCCGAGAGTATAAAAACAACGTTTTGGTCCATTCCCTTCGTAGTATACGGGTCAATAAGTTTGAGTACCAAAAATTCACCCAGAGGTTGCTATGTTGCTCGTGTTTCATTCTTTCCTAAACAGGGAAATCCATTTTGAACATACTTTGTTTGAACATCTATCTTTTTCATCACAGATGAAAGCCATAATTGAATTCGGAATTTTTCTGCTTTATTCGGTAAATGTTGCGTAAACCCGCATCCGGCTTTAGTTAGGAAAAGTAGCTCATCTATTGTAATATTTGCAATAGGTTAATAACTGGCTGTTTTCAATAAACTGTTATTTTGTTATTTTTCAAACGTTGACTTCTATCATCTTTTTTGTCAAATCGAATAAATTTCAATACTTCCTTAACCCCTTAATGTACATTTTCTTTTGTCAAAAGTTGGTAAAAATATATCATTTTTTTTATTGTTGATAAATAATACGTAATAAATTTTGAAACCATACATATAGTTTTTGCACGAAAGTTATAAAAATATACAATAACTATAACTGCAAACTTTGTCCCGAATGAGACTCGGGCTTGTACAGTTTCGCCATTTTTAGTTGCCCGTGTCACACTTGGGCTTGCGCGTTAAGGGTTAAACGGAATGCCTTCAATGTTGCTTCTGTACGGATGCATTTTTTAACCAAAAATTGCGAGGCTTCTGATGCGGGTGAAAATAAACGTTGCAACATATGGCTGTCACTTAGTAAGGAAAATGCACTAATTAATTTATCTTTCATGATACGTCTTTTTGCATATTCTGTGGGGCCGGATGTGGCTTTGAATATTTTGTGCAAGGATAATCTCCCAGAAGCTGAACCCTTCCTGAATTCTCTCCCGCTTGGTTCTATCTACGGCAATTTCATTTTGATTAGCTTGTATTACACTCTAAGTTTCCGTTTCAAATTCTATTCTGCGTACACTCAAAATGTTCTCTGGCTCATTTTCTGAGGACTCATTTTCTTTGCCACCATTACTGTTATCACTACACATTTCAATTTTTTTTACCGCTATGCACACTCAGAGAATTAACTAAACTCTATATTAGAGTATTCCATTGATATCCTTTTCACTTTTTATAATAATAATAATCGTACGCTTTCATTTGTCAACTTTTAGTCACGGGCTGTGAAATATTAGAAATCAGGTCTTGTTCCACCAACGTGCTCTATAAAATGACCGTGTGCAACGGAAAGCGCAGCTCATATCACTATATTTCCGGTACAACAGTGTTTATGTTTTGACGTCAGACAAGATGTGACATAGAAAAAAGTTCACAACATGGCATCCATGAATGTGTCTAGATATCTAATACACAATTTAAATAAACGAATACGGTTTGGTAAACAGATTATAGAAACTTTTTATACATATACCAGTACCAGTCAATTTGACTACTACTGGTATAAGTAGCCATAATACAAACTCATTTTTACTCTAAATGAATAAAACAAAATTAATGTTTATTTTATGATTCCTTTAGATATCCTTGCAAAAGTCATTCTATATTTGCGGAGAAAAAGTAGCATGAAGCAGGAACTTTAAAATAAAAGTAATTAAGTTTACTGGTTTCCAAGTTATCTGCTTTTAATTGTTTCAAGGTATTTTTTTTTTCTTAAAGTCAATAACACAGTAACTATAGCAATCAGTAACGATAATAATCGATAACAATTACAATTAATTAATAACAATAGAATATATATTTCGAATTGAAGTCGTGGCATCTTGAATTTTTCGCGTCAGTTCCTCGATCGAATTAATTTTGAGTTTGTACACCATATCTTTCAGTTGTGACCATATTGAAAAATCCAGTAGATTTAGATCGGAACTTCTCGGTTCATTTAAATAAATGCGCATAGGAAGACTAATGTGGTGGTGCACCGTCCAGCATAAACCACATGTGTTCTTTTAGAGCGTCTGGTAGGTCATGTAAAAACTAGTGTAGATGATCTTCACGAAAACTTAACTAATAGAGGTGCATTTAATTTGGGAAAGAATTCAAATGGAACAATGAAAAAATTGGATATTGCACCATATCAAATATATACTTTAATATCGTGTTGAAAATGTCTTTCCCTCACAGCATGTGGAATCACGGAATCCCGTAAGTGATTGCTTTTCCAGTTCAAAACGCCCCGTCCTGTAAACATCGCTTAATCAGTGAACAGAATCTTGTCAAGAACATTTCATTTTCGCGTAATTTGTTTTGTAAAAAGTGAACATATTGTATGATGTGAAGCATGATCTTGCTGTAATGAGTTTTGAACGGAAGTATAATGACATAGCCGGATTTGTTCTTTCTTTAAAACTCTACACACTGACGATTGGCTTATTCCGGTTTGCAATACTTAATCGGCGGGTACTTATAGATGGATTTTCTGTAACTCGAACCAGGATTTCTTCTTCTTCGTCGAAGATAGTCGCTCGACATTTTTTTTTGTCACTTTTTTTTTGCTACTTTTAGGACGAAAAGACCCCGTTTCGCCAAGGCGATTGTACAGATTCCTAAATAATTTATGATTAGGTTGCCTTCGATTTGAATATAACTCCAAATATCTTCGGGCTGCAGCTAAACCATTAAAATTGGTTTGAACAAAACAACAAATCATATCTCCCATATGGCTATTAGAAAATTCATTATGTCGTGGCATTTTCAAATTGGTAATAACTCTTTTGTTGGTAAAGATGATTATTGCACGCGGAAATTAGAACAATGTTAATATAATAAATAAAAATTTTAGAAGCAAAAATACATTTAAACATTTAAAAGTAAATAATTCGAAAACCGATAGACGTAGACAATTTAAATAAGAGTACCTTTTTTATGTAAAATTGAGCAGTGTATATCTAGCACCCTCTACGAACAATCATAAAATAAGTTTCAAATTCGTATTTCTCATGCCCGAAAACATAAAACTACCACATTTTATGTTAATAGTACAACTTCAAAATTATCAAGAATTTCCGAAATATGACTTTAAATTTCAACACCTTGTACGTCAAAAACCACCGACATCTGTATAAGAGACTAGAAGGAGGATTAAATCGTCATATTTTGGTGTCTAGTGTCTACGGTATTCGGATTTCCCATTGTGTCTGACTCACCATGTTCATATAAAATCGCATCTTTCCGGATTAATAAAAACGATATAGTAAATAATGATGATTGGTTGAGGAAATAGAGTTAATTTCTTTTATGTTAGATTTCTTATAGAGTTCATGTATAAACTGACGACTTTTGATGCAATAATTTTAACCGAAGACGTTAAACTTCTGATTCATGTCGATTATTGAAAAGTGAAGTTTTAAACTTTCCCGGTCGCTCTTGAATACACATCCGTTTTCCAAAGGAATAAGCAATAATTCCCGAGGTTTAAGGGGAAAGACTTATCTGGAAAAATGAACCGTCCGCCAAGCTCCTCTGCACCTTACAGCACAGTTGTACTATAAAACTTGTGAGCTCAGCAAATTGCTCGCCCGTTCCTTCCTCGGTGTCTTTGATTTATACATCCTGGATGCGCTAAATATTCCGGAACTTTGGCCCGGGGTCGGGTATCGATGTTGAAATATGTGGAAATTTACATTTTCCTGATCTATTACCGTCGTAACATCACTTTGGAACTTTTTCTAATTGAAGTGGTTTCCACTTACGTACGTTATAGCTTGGACGCCAGAGGTATACCGTTGGAAAAGGCTTCTCATCTGGCAGCCAGTCAAGACGTCGGCGCCAGGTCTTACTTCATAGCCGATCACCCATCTAGAGCACGACTGAAAATACAAAACGTCACACTCGAAGACGAAGGAGTGTTTCGTTGCCGCGTGGATTTCCTCAACTCTCCAACAAGAAACTTCAAAGTCAACCTTACATTAGTAGGTTAGCGTATAATACACAAAAGAATTATAATATGCAGTTACCGTGTTTCATTGTATTTTTAGAGCTTTCGTCGACACCAAAGATATTCAGTGCCGAAGGTAAGCTGATAAAAACGGAAGCCGGTCCGTTTCTGGAAGGTCAAGAACTTTTCCTCTCGTGCCAGGTGGAAGGAGGTAAATGCGTTAGGATTCCCCCTGTTCTATCTAGTAACAAAATCGAACCCTCTTAGGTCGACCAAGACCGTCTTTGACCTGGTGGTTCAACGGATCGGTTCTGGACAACGTAGTCGATACTAAAAAGGGAGCTTACACCACTGTCAATCAACTTGTCATATCGAGACTACCTAGGGAGTACAAGGGCGGAAAGCTCGAATGTAGAGCCTCTTCGATGGACATTGCGGATGTGATCATTCGTGAAGTACCGCTAATAATATATCGTAAGAATTTTCAAAACGAAAGATTTACTATTACAATTTTGTTTTAATTTTTAACTTATAGTTTAGTTTATAAAATCGTCTGAGATAATTAAGTAATACAATATATTTTTAGTGCGTCCAAATAAAGTAAAAATTGTGACACCAAACGATTTGATGTCATCAGCAAAAACCCACACGTCCAAATGCGAGACATCTGGTTCTTATCCACCGGCAAAGCTGACGTGGATATTGAATGGAAGGACAATAAAAAGTTCAGTGCTGACGGTAAGTAGGTTTTTATCTTTTTAACAAACATAAAAAGCATATTTTAATCTTATTAAGTATGAAAAAGAAGCGACCTTCCAAATTTAATTATTTAAGTATGAAAGGGTACTTCGCCAGTTTCAAAAAATTACGTATGCAAATACATAAATCTTTTTTAGGAGGAAGAGAACGAGGCCTTTTCGAGTAGTATAGTGTCGTTGAGCGTTGAGGCCGAGGACGATGGCACAGAGCTCGTCTGCAGGGCGGACAACCCTAGATTCCCAGGAGGATCTCTGGAAGACCGAAGGCAAATACATGTTGCATGTAAGTGAGTTTTAGTTATCTAAATTTGGAAGATGTCTCTCGGCGATACGGGTGAGCCTACGTTCCTTTATAAATATTTATCATTTTCAATTCGTATCATCAAAGGATCTGTATCCGTTGACACTTTTCCGGAGAAATGCAAAACGAATGCAAATTCGGGCCATATAACTCAGTGATGTGCGCCTCGCTGACCTACTGGTGACCTGTACCGACAACAATGGGTTTGCAGAAACGTCTTCCCTCCTCCAAGACTCACGCAACACCTTCTATAGCCCATTTATGCGAATACATTATCCCGGTCGGGCGAAATTTATATCAGCACAAAGGGTATTTATCATGAATATTGGTCGATGAGAATTTCAATTACTTGCACAAACAGTGGATGTCGGTCAAGAGGACAGTGCCGAGTGAACCACTTTGATGCAGGAAATTGTTTACAATATCCGAATAGATATTTCGGTATATATTTATTATTATACGGCTGCAGTAAATGGACATCTACTACTACACCAATCAATAAAATTCTGCGATCGACCACGATAAAAACGAGATGCGATTATAATTTGAGTAGTACCAGATGGACAATATTTGTATTAAAGTTACTAATTAATTTAATCCCTTTTTAAGCTCTTTATGACACATCAATTTATTTATAGACCTTTTAATCGAGATATGGTAGCTTTTTATTTATTAAACGATCAATATTAATACTTTTATTTATTTTTCTTTAATCATTTATGTTTCAATTAACAAACAAAAACGTTTTACGATCGTCAACAGCAGCTAAAATAATTGAAATATATTAAAATATTAATACCAATTTAAACATTGATCATTTTCATTGGTCATGAAAAACGTTGAATCTAATTCCAAAATAATTATTTTCTCCTTACATATGTTTCAGCCTATGATAATTGTATCATATTTCAATACGATCGAATATTTTCATTAATTACCACAATTAAATAAAGATTTATCCTAATTAAGCCGAAATTTATAGTTACCACAACGTCAATCTGAAACTGATTAACACATTACTGTGCCTCGGCCGCAACCGACATCGACTTTAATTAGCTTTAATTTTCGTTTCTGCTCCTGATAATTTGTTTCTACACTTAATGTTTGTTGCCTCTGCACAACATATTTCAAACCTGCCTATGATTCACTTCTATCCGTGATATTCTTACTTCTGCACATATTTTCTTATGCACTTGCCCATGCCGTTTAGCTATAACATTTTGGTGCAGAGCAAAACAATTTATTTCTACCTACTCCCGATAATTTACTTCAACACTTAATGATTTGTGTTATCAACGTGTTTTTCGATATTTATATCTGATATTTATATTTAGGAATGATGTCGGGTGGGATGTGAAAAGCGGCAATAAAAAACGCTGCAAATACTCGCCAAATAGAATAGAATTTAATATATCTGCTAATTTATTTCTGTTCCTGATATTTAGATTCGTTACATATTTGCTTCTGCACTTGCCATTGACATTATTTTCGTCAATAACACTTTGGTGCATAGCTGCGTATACACTCAACGATTTTATTTTTGCGCAACATATTTCGAATCCGCCGATGATACTTAGCCATCTGATGATTTATTGTTGTCCGTTGCACATATTTTCTTCAGCACCTGCCCATGATATTGATTTTACCCATAATAATTTGGATTAAATAATTGGATAAAATAATATTTAGGAATAACAGTCAAAAATATCCTTAAGTAACTGTCCGTAACTATACTATTTCTGCCCATAATATTTTAATTCTACGTATTATATTCATTATTGCAAATGACCAGGATATTACTTCTGTTCCTATTGTTCTTGTTCACATAATAATATGTTTCTCATTCATGAAATTTTGCTTCTACGCATAATACTTTGTTTCTGCTTATGATACCGACTCTGCAAATGATGTTTACTTCTGCAAATAATGATAATATTGTTTCTGTTGCCCGATAATCTGCTTCTACGTTAATTGATTTACTTCTGGCCACAGCATTTTGCTTCTCAAAAGATGTCTGGTCATAACATGACGTTTTAGCCTATGATATCTGTTTTTGCAACTGATCATGGTATTATTTCTATTATCCTATATACTACTTCTATTTGAGATGATTTACTTCTGAGATGATCATGGTGTTGTTTCTGCTACCCAATATACTGCTTTTCTTTGGGATGATTTCCTTCTGCCCATAACATTTTGCTTCTGGGCATAAGACTTCGTTTCTACCTTCTGCAAATGATCATGGTATAGTTTCTGCTACCCCATATACTGCTTCTACGTTAGGTGATTGACTTCTGGCTACAATATTTTGTTTGTGTGCGCAATACTTTGTTTATAATTATGATATTTCGTTATTGCGTAATGTTGCAAGTACAGAAATGCTTATGATGGTTTCCGTTTGTAAAGATGAAGATGTGTTGGATGCGCATAATATTGTCTTTCTGTATGTGATACGAGTTAATTACGATGTGTTTCGCATGATAGAGCAAGTGGCTATAGAATTTAAAAATCTATCACTTTTTTTAAAATCCATCGTAATTTCGTGCCTCGTAAAGTAATCTCATATGATTTTGATGATATGCTTTAACACTCCATAACTTTTCGCTTTTAGAATTGTGTGCAAATTATTGTTTCTGAGGTCATTAATAAAAACGATTCTCATCATTTCCCGCTTATAACAAGGTTCAATCGCTTTATAATTGTTCAATTTCAAAATCAAATTATACGATTGATATATTTTGCTGTTGGCTCTAACGAATGAGTGGAAAAATGAGTGGGGAGGTTTTTGCGTTTAATATTTCGCCGCTTTTAAAAAGAAATACTTTTATTGACAAATAAACTCTGGGCACTATAAATAACTATCGTGACTTGTAACATTATCTGGTGGAATTAATGCTGTGGGATAGTAGTTAAAACGGTAATCGAGAGCAAAACATTAAAATTTGCCTTTCGATCGACAACACACCAAAACTCATCAAAGGTAATGTGATAAGGGTTCATCATTCCCCGTACTAGGGTATAATAATATGCGACTAGGCCAATTATGAAATTACGCGCTCCAGTTGCAGTTTGATCTGTGATTACGCAAAGGTCCTTTTGCGGGTGTACACTGACCACACTTCCTCCTGTCGGACACCCTTCGAACTGGATGTAATGGAGCTTTGAGGCGGGCAATCTGAGCATTCGACCGTGTATTTGGAAACCTCCCGTTTCTACCGGGAGCTTCTATCGTCTCAAGGCTGGGGATTTCATGCCGCCCTCTCTCAGAATTCAATTAGAGTAAGTTCGACCCATAGGATTGTTTGATACCCAGACCGGGTCGACTGTTCTGCGGCTTAGCGGGATGTTTACCGAATTTGGCATCAATTACAAGCTTTTCGCAATTGTTTCCGAATCGCCTTGGGATAAAACAAGACGTTTGAGATAATGAGATAATAGGATAGCATAATTTATTACAAAATTTATCGATCAATAATAACAATTTTCTTTATTAGTTGAAACGTAACAAATTTATTTTTCGTGGGGAAAAACCACAACCAACTGGATTAAAGGATTTTCTGGTAGAACGCAGCTCGGTTTTTTGCATGAAAGGTTGTGAATGTTCTCGAATGGAACCGTAAAGCGTGAAAAAGTAAAAGATCACCAACCGGGGTTTCATGTAAATCGAATTGCATGAAACGGACCGTGACTGTGAGTAAAATATGGGATGCACAAATCAGCTTTGAACAATTGGCCTAATTGAAATCTGCAGTAAATAGCGCGCTGGACCAATCTGCGGAAACTGGCCAATTTAACTAATTGACCGGGTCGACCTACATTTATCATAAATTTTCATTCGCGGCGCCAGCTGTAAGACCAAAGCCGACCGACGTCGTATAATATCCACTCTGACATGGTGGGAATGCTGCTAAAGTTTCTTTTTTCATTTACAGATTCTCCGAAAGTCGCTGTAAAGATGCATGGTGATGTTACGTCAACTATCAAAGAAGGCTCAAGCATTGATCTGTTATGCAGTACAAAGTCTAAACCAGCTGCACATAATTACAATTGGTATTATAATGTGAGTATATAAATAAATATTTCAATATTTACAATTGTACATGTGGTATATATAAATTAGGCGACCCTTTAATACTTACGTCGCATTTGGTTAGAAATGTACCGAGGAGAAGTGTATTTACATAAACAAACCCTTAATTGAACTGCGTGGAGGAACAAAATGTGCAATTGTTATTCAGGCTGGTGGAGGATGTATTTTTTACTTTTTTCCCCGGAACGATCGCCCCAATTCCCTTTAATGTATGCGTGGGGGTGCAAAATCGCGCAACCGTCCAATATAAATAAAAATCGAAGAAAATATGTAAATTTTTCGTTTTCGAATAGGATCATATATATAATTCTTTGTTTTTATTAAATGTATATCTTGGACAAGAAAATGAAATGCCAAAAAGTATTTGAAAATTTGAGAATTATAATGATAATAAAAGATGGCAAGAACATTCTATTATGATATCAGAATTGTCGTGTTATTGGAAAATAGGGATTAGCGGAGGACGTTAGGTCGATATACCATAGTACAGCAGTTTGCAGAACTTGCAACAATTACCTCGACCGACTTCCACATTGCTTACACTTCTGCCCGATACAATGGTATTAGTTTGTGGAATAACCGCACGGCGGCTCGTGCTCACAGGATCTACTTCGCACAGCGGAGAACGGGCTAATCACTTTACCGGATTCGCAATAAAGCCGCATTAAACCTTCGAAAGTCCGTTAGGCGTCGGGGTGTACGTAACGAACACAAATTGTATTAAAATACTCGAGATGTGATCCCTCCCCGAATTCCATATTTGCACGAATGCAGACGGAGGCCGACGGTAAAGCTTTCAGTGATGAAAGGGCGGCATGTCGACGGATCACGACTACCAAGCAAGGGGGGACTTTGAATGCACTTCCCAGTTAAATTCTTCTCAGAGGAAATCAAATATAGACGTTACACCTCAAACACGAATACGAGATGCGTCCTTCATCCCGTTCGCCCGACGGAATGAAGCGATAAAGACATCACATACACCGCATTGCACCATTACTTACTTTCCATTAATAGTCACATTTTTTGCAATACTGAAATCGATTTATGTGTCTATAACTGCTAAGATATAGGGAATATACTGATTTTTTTTTTAATCCAAGTTAATGATCAAAGAATTTGTTATGAAATACTTCTAATCCCTACGAAGTTTTTATATTGATCCGGTTACCGATCCTTCGGAGCGAATAACCTTTGATTATCGTTAATCACGTGCAGTGGACATACGAAACCATAGGTTGGAACACGCAAAAAACGCTCTTTGCAACTGTGTCACGTGGGATACACTCGAGTCGAGACTGTAATCCATTGCTCATAATACTCGACAGTGGGAGTCCATAACGGAATAGTATCATTGGGCGGCACCTCGGGGAGATGGATCCGAGCCAGAACTAGAAATCATTGGTTGCAAAAACTAACAGAGTTTAAACTGATAACCTACAAACTTTATGCAAAAAGGATTACTAACAATAAGTGTAACGTATAAATACTCTTATTTCAATCAATGACCTTTATGATAAAAACTTGGTTTTATTAGGCAGCGTTTTTTAAATATTTGATTCTCGTCTGTGAAATGTTTTTTACCTTACTAGGGGATCATATGGTGACCAGTTTCAGGTTGATATAATATTAATCAGTGAGCCTCAACTTCAGTACCACATGTTCTAAAACTTACGTACTTTAGAATATTACCTTACATTAGAATGTTAACCTGGTTTCGGAAACATAATAACTTTTGCTACCTGCCAAAGTCTGGGAACATATCTCATCTCTCAGTACATCACCTTAACTAATAAATGGATTTTCTTGTAATAGCTCTCTTGGTATGAGATCATATTCTGGTCATATCCAGTACCTACTCTGAAGTTGGATCAAAGTTAGTAATATAAACATCATTCAAAGATTTCAAAATATAATACTGAGGAACATCGTTGATGGTTCTTACGCAACAGTCTCCATTAGGTCCTCGCTATGGTAGTTGTGGTTGAAATAAATTACATGTCACAAACTCGGCTTCATTTGAATTCACGGATATCAGAAGGAAGCGTAACAATTTATAGAATAGAATAGAATAAACTTTATTGTGCCAATGCCAGGGCTTACACTCGTAATATACAAAAATCAGTACAGTTCAACACACTAACTATGACTTAAATTACATAGTAACACTGCTACTTAGATATTCATCGACTGAGTAGAACGCATTTTTTAGCAAAAACTCCCTCATAACATTTAAAAATTTATTTTTCTAGAGTGTTCTAATTTCCGAGGGCAATTTATTATATAAGACCTGAGCAGTATATCTATAGCTTTTTTGCGTTCCACTCAGTCGACAAAGGTCAACATAAATATTTCCGCAGTATTATTTTTTCAGCTGTCTGAAGACGTGACGGCAATCATCTCTATAGCTCAGCTTTGAAATGACCCTCAAAGCTCTGCGCTTTAGACCAAATATGTGGGAGCTAGCTGTGCTTCCCCCCATGCAATTATACAATAACTTATAATCTTATAATCTGGCTACCTCAGCAGACACCGAAACAACCAATCTGCAATGATATTCACAACAGCATCCTTGGTACTCCGACCAGAGCGGAAACCAAATTGATCTTCATGAAGCATATTGTTTGACTCAACATGTGTCATTATTTGCCTGAACATTGCACGTTCAAATATTTTGGATAGTGTTGGGAGTATACTGATAGGTCGATAATTGGAACAGTCATTTTTATCGCCTCGCTTGAAAACAGGAACAACGGACGCAACCTTTAAGGCATCAGGAAATATGCAAGAAGATAATGTATTGTTGACCAATGTAGTTAAAGGTTTCACAAATAGGCTTATATTGCATTTAATCGCGTATGTTGGAACACCGTAAACGTCTCGAGTCCCACTAGACTTTAAACTCTGGAGGAGACCTCTAATCTCACATTCCGATACCTGCGCAAACGGAAACGCAGGAACATAGTTAAAGTCTGTATGGCACACATCCGAAGAAGAAACAGCCAGAGGACAAAGCCGAGAAACAATGTTATTGGCCTCATTCACAAAGAAATTGTTAAGGATATCAGGGTTTATATTCACTGTATTTTGTTTGTTTCCATTTGGTCTATTAAAATTTATAACCGACCAAATTGCTCTAGATTTATTTCTTGACTGTTCGATAACGTAGTTTGCAGCTTTACGTTTAGCTTCAGCTAACCGTACAGCATAACAACCGGTGATATGGTACTAACGGGTTTTCTAGTAGGAACCCTTGATTATTTTTTATGACCTTTCAACGGCAAAATATCAGTGATGATTCAGGACAATCTAGTTCGCTATCGTGCTATTTTGACTATTTTGGGCAAGAATTGAATAAATTTGACCTGATATGTGGAATAAAATTGATCTCTTGAGGAGGAAGTTAGGTAACCGTGTTATCATGAAATAGGGCCATCGTGCGTATGCGATTTAACGCCGTTAAATTTCTTTTTATAGGATCGTTGGTCTATATCAACAAATGAACAACGTTAATATTGAACAATAATGTACTAAATGTAACTGGAATTCATGTAGTTATCAGCTGATGATGTGCTTTCAGTGACAAAACAAAGCTGTAATCAAAATTCATTATAGGTACCTTAATTTTGTTGGCGTAACCTATATATATATATATATAAACTTATCAAAATAATATTTTTTAAATCCAACAAATGGAAATATTAAAACAAGCTTTATTATGTTTTATTGTTAGTATATATACTTGAGCTCATTTTTGAGTGTTTGCAAAACCTGTGTTACCATCATTATTACCTGGCACAATCCGACAATAAAAATTGTGTAATTGGCGTTAAATTCTGTTTAAATTTAACTCGTTAAATCAACCTCTATTGTTTGTGTTAAAATTTGATTGTCTGCCGAATAATAATAATTATGATTATTTTGATATGAAATATTTCCAAAAAAAACCTTTAACCCCGAAATAAGCTATCTTGTGAAAAATTGATGGATTTCATTGGTGCTCTTCATCTTCTAAAGTACAGCAAATTTAGCGACTCTGTGATGCTATGTAGTTCTGAATTTTATAATTATAAATTTGTTACAAAATATGGATAATTTTTAATGTAATATTGATGTTGTTTTATTAAACGTTTAAAATGGTATAGCAATATAGTCGATTATTATCTCTGTTACGAAACTTTAACAGTAAATAGTTGTGTTTAAACTTGGAACATCCCGATGGCGGAAACTTTTTGGAAAGTTCCATTGTTGAACATTCAGGGAGCGGCTGCAGCAGCTCAAACCGAATACGCCCTCGTTCCGCTGTCGATTTGTTTGCACGTTACACAGTCGAAACTGGTAGAGGAGAATCTCTGACGTGTCAGATAAAGGTGAAGATACCGCGCAATCCGCACGTCCCTGTAAGCCTCCCGAAAGCTCAAAGCGAGCAGCAACGACAGGATAGCCAGAATGCACTCGTCAATCGATGGTGCGAGAAGTTAGCAAACGCGATCCTGCCAAACGGTGACACTAATGCTACCTAGAACGATTACGCCCTCCTGACTTTGCTAATCCTACTCGTTTCCGAGATAATTTGGACGGATACCGATTCGCAGTAATCCAGAAGGTAATATTGAAAGTAATACCGGGATTACGACATAACTGTATTAATCTATTAAGTTTCGACAAAATTTCGATTTCAAGTACGTAATTCTGTTGTTTTCTTTTGCTTCTCTGGTAATCGGCCCGAATAATGGGAGAGCAATCAAGCATAACAAGGAAGTAAACTCCGGACTCCTAATTGAACACGCAATTAGAAGATCACCCGGTACCTATTTACCTGTTTATTAATTAGCTATTGTTCAATGGAGTGTACGTGCTTTTGAGTTCGGAGGGTGGAAAGTTTCTCGATAATTAGCATTGGGGTGGTAAGTAAAGAAACGGAAGTTTGCTTTTGAAGATTTTACCTTCACAATGGACGTTTTCATCAGAAGAAAATAAGTCAACGGTATCCGGAACGAAGTAAACGCATTTTCATTTCGCCTCGCAATATCGCGGCGCTGGTTCCATTTTATAAACGCAATAAAATCGCAACCGTCTGCGGCGTTATTGTGAATTTCCCGGCAGTCCTCTGCGTAAACATCTTATGTGCCGTTTTATGGTACGCCGTCACGGCGATATTTACATTCTGCAAGGTTTACAACGGCTGAGCGAAGAGCGAAAATGTGTTCGCCTCTGGGCGGTTTACTTTAATATGTGAAATTTTCAATTAAACTGTACACGCACAAATATTTTTTTTAACTTTTCTTTTGTTAACCCTTGCTTAATTGAATTGAGTTTTAAGTACAAGTTTTGTGGTGACTAATTATGCTTGCTGTGACGCGATAGGATAGGGTGTCTCTTAAAGAACTTAAAGAAATTCGTTTTCTGAAAAAGCAAAAAAATGAATTCCGTAAAAAGCTTAATGAAGGAACATCTGGCATCGATTGAACAAGAATAGTAAGGTTCTTACTGGAGAGATCAGCGCCTGGATCCTTCGTCATGCAGTTAATTAAGTTTGCAGGGTCTCAATTCGAGAGGAAGCTAATTTATCCAAACGGTACCGCAGAACAAAATAATCCTGTAAGAACTGCGGGAAACGGAGATAAATTTAAATAATTACTGTAAGTGCAGTTGCCGACGGTCGCGCTGTTTTTATCGTTACCCACTAACCTTTTCCTGCCTCACCAATTCTTTTGGTTCCCAGACGTTAAAATACAGCTCAATCTTTTAATTCGTTATTCTTGTACAAGCTTATTCCATTCTATCAAAATATATATAATTTAAAAAAGTATATAACTTAGATTTCAATATCTTAAAATGTCACCATTCCACCGTTTTTAATCTCTTTTCTTGTATTTTTCTTCCAGGGTCACTTGGTGCGTTACAACCTGACTGCCGGTTTCCTCCCAGTGGACGACAAACTAACACTTAGGAATATTAAAAAGGCTGCTGCCGGAGAGTATTCCTGTTCAGCGACGAATACGGAGGGTGAAACCTATAGCCCGCCTTTCCACCTGGGAGTGCAATGCAAGTACCGATTTCTTATTCCACTCCTCGTAGAAATTTGACTGCGATGCGCTATATTGAACTGCTTGAAATTTCCGCACCTGCGACAAATTTTCACGTTTTAGTTGGATATACATGTCCGATTTAACTCTTTCGAATTTCGTATTACCTTTATATTTCTCGTATATCACACCCTTAGATTGCAAATTAGATGTAAAAACTGTTCAACAATATTTGAATTGTAGACGGTGATATAAACAGGGAGACATAACTCGTAAACGATGTATTCACTTATCAAGATCTATATGTCATTCGATTCGCCATAGTTTCTTCTATCGAAATCACAAAATGCCCGATCCCACTTAATAATGCCTTTAATAATAATAATAATAATGCCTTTTTAATTAATTGAAATCATTACATTATCTATAACTTAACAATGAAAGGATACAGGGCGTAGTTAAGGACCTAAGTCCTTCTCTTCCACTCAAGCCTGTTTTATACACAAATATAAACCAAAAAAAACACAAAATTAATAATCAAATGAAAAAAAAAGCAAATATATATACATTCTTAAAAATAAAACCAAAAGGCAAAGAGTTATAAACTAAAAATAACTAAGGAATACTAATCTATAATACGGAAAAATAAAACAAAATATTCCCTTTTCTATTGTCTTGCTTACATCTTATATACCTAAAAATTGTAATTATAATGCTCACTCATCATAACGGAGTCTGTTCACCGAATAATACATATCTCAAGTTGCGTGCAAATACCGCTGGTGGTGCCGATTTCAAAGTTCCCGGTAGGGGATTGTAAAGCTTCAGAAGTGTGAAAGTAAATGACCTTTAAAATAGTACTGTTGCATGCTGCGGAGGAGAAATTAGACCCTTATTTCTAACATTAAGATTGTGAATATCCGTTCTGAACCTTATCTTATCACTTAAATAACGTGGTTCTCGCAACATTAAAAGTTTATGATAAAAAGTAAGCAATCTGAACTTTCTTCTATTAGCCATGTTTAACCAGCCAGCAATCTGTAACATATGAGAAACATGTTCTCGTCGTCTAAGCTTATAAATCATTCGTAAATAGGAATTTTGTACACGCTGTATTTGACGTGCCGTATCAGTAAAATTACTAAGTATTAAACTGTCACATAATCTTATCTTATTTGATGTCGTTAACAAATATCTACTAGCATATATCATTTTCAGAGCAGCAAACGATTCCCTAACTTTACTACTAATATGTTCACGGAATCTTAAATCGCTATCAAGCATTAAGCCCAAACTGCGAGACGTGTCACCGACCTTTATTGGTTTGTTGTTAATATTTACGAAGAAAGAGCCAGCATACTTGATACGTGTTTTTTGTCTCCTAAAGAGCATCACCACAGATTTTTCTGGGTTTACACTCAGGCAATGTTCCGTGGATATGTCAATCAAACTACGTATATCATTCTCAAGCGCTAATCCAGCCGAGGTTATATTTTCAGGAGGAAACGATAAATAAATTTGCGTGTCATCTCCGTAGAAGTGCACCTGGGAGTTTGATAATGTTCTAAGAAAATCACAGGTAAACATACAATATAAAAGGGCCTCTTTTCAGTATTGAACTTTGTGGAATTCCGGCTTGAAGTTGTTTTGATCATTTGATCATTCAAGTAGCTCGATATCAACGCTTGAGAGTGAGAACTGAAACCTATATAATGCAATAAGGATACTAAAATTTTATGATTTACCCTGTCAAATGCCTTGGAATAATCCAAAGTTATTAATGCAGTCAGATAGTTTTTATCACATGCTCTTAAACATCCACAATATGCATCACCGTCGTCTCCCAACTCTAATGCTTTCGGAAGCCAGATTGTGTAGGTGGTAGGATACCATACTTGTTTAAGAATAAACTTATTTGGAAATGCATTATTTTTTCAATTACCTTTGATATTGCCGGCAAAATACTAATTGGTCTCAATTCATTATATGTCTTGGGCAATGTCTTCTTTGGCAATGCTGTCACTAGTGCCGTTTTCCAACACGATGGAAATACTGAGTTCTCCAAGCAAAAATTAACTATATGTGTAACGAATGGTAAAATGAATGGACAACACAGTCGCAACATATGTATAGATATACCATCCGAACCCACTGCCATCGACTTAAACCGGAGTAAAAATGTTACCAAGACGTACTCCTCGACTGGCGTAAATTCAAACTCCACATCTTCATTATATTTTTTATTGTGCAGATAATGACTTAGTAGATCTTGACATATCACAGTGGTCTCCACCGACGTTTGAATGAAGTGATCATTTATTGCTTCAACATCATTCAAACAGTTCGGCAGTGTCAAAGTATTAGAGTTCAAAGCATCTAATTTTTTTAATGCATTCCAAAGTTCATGCGGGCCACCACTAGTTAAAGTGTGGTCAACATAAGCTCGCTTTGTTACTGTGATTTCACGGGCTGTTTCTGTCCTCAAACATTTATACCTATCGAGATCATTTACAGATTTAGTGGACTTATACTTATAAAGAGCTCGATCCCGGATCTTCATCATTTCCTTGAGATCTGGAAACAACCAGGGTGCTTTTTAGAACAACTGATAGTAATGTTAGGTGCGTACCTGTCAAACAGGGATATAATTAAATTATTAAAGTAATTAACCTTTACATTAATATCAGACAAGTCAAGGCTTTTGGGTATTAACCCAAAAGCCAAATTTTCAATGTCCGTGTCAAACGATTGTATATTAATTTTTTTTAGATTGTGGTAAGTTTTTATTTTCGGCATGATTTTTTAACTTATAATTTGTAATGAACATTCGACCAGCTCATCGTCCGTTATTCCATGCATCGAACTTACACCAATAAAAGAAAATAAACTCCCCGAGCATATAGCAACATCAATAAGTGTTTGTGATCGAAGGCCATATGATTCTAATAAAGTAAAACATTTTCTTCCATAAGAACTGTCAGGCTTCATCAAGTTCAAGTTCACGTCCCCCCACAAAACACTTCCCTGCATTCTGGAATAAATAAAGTATCATCAAACAAAGTGAAAAATTGCGTTAAATTTGTGTTTGGGGGCCTATATATCACTCCAAACCTTGTGCTTCTTTCCCGTTTACCTTGTGCAGCCCTCGTAACGACATCGTGCTCGTTGTCTATACATGTATGGATAGCTCCCAATAAGAAAAATTGATTTACATTAAACCCAGTATAACGAAAGAACCAATTGACGGAATTTAATGTCTTATATCTCAATCGAAAACTTGGATCTAGTTGAATGCGAATGTCAAAATACCCGATTCGAAATATCCGAATCCGATATTTATGCATTTGAGAGCAAAAGTGTAAAAGAGGTGTAAAAGATTAAGCTTTCGAATGAGATATTATTCATCGATATCAGTTGAGAGATTCTCTTGTTATAATTAAAATACTGTACATATAAAATCCGATCTAACTTCGCATATTATAAACTGCTTGAATACGGTTCTAAAATTTAAGTTTTACCAGATAATCTCTCCCAAGGAAACGGAAATTAAACGATTTTTTCGTTCGTTCTCTTTGATTGAAAATTACAGTCGGAAATCACAGTCGATTCAGAATGGTCACTAATTCCAATCACGACGTCTTTTCTTTGAATCATTCCCAAGTTTTAACTCGTAAGAACAATGAGGGCGAGAATCTCTTCAAGAATATTCGGCATTCTGTGCACGATTTGCGCTAATGTATTTGTTTGTGTCGCTGTTGACTCGTGAAATTATTGTTTTCGACTGGGGAAAGACCTTGGGTGGGGGAATTAATTTCAAACGGCGGAAGACTTCTTTTTCGAATGAATTAATTACAGCCATTCATCTGGTCTACCGACTCGGGACGGGAACCAGAAGGGAAAAGGGCCTTTCATTGAAAAGAAATGGAAGGCTCGAGAATAGGAAAGTTTGAGGGGATAAAAAAGCGGAAGAATTACGAAAAAATTATCCCTTGAAAAAGGGTAATCCAAACCGCAGAATATCGTATAATTTAGTAGTTTTCATGCGGAGGGCTTACATCCCGTTTCATATCGGTTATGTTTACGACTTTATTAAAGCCGTCAGTCCGTCGTCGAATGAGTACCACTCGAGCTATGTGGAATTAAATGGACGGTCCGAAATGGTCATTTCAGCTCAACTGTAACGTATCCCCAAATATTTATGTGGTACTTGTGCCCAAACGCAGAAATGCTGGATTTAAACTTAAACAACACGAAGGCTTTTTAATTATTTTGAAGAAGACACAATCTACTATAAGTCGACAGAGGGTTCCCTTTTGAGCCGGCTTTAGGCAATGAAAAAGGCAAAACATACGGCAACAATTTCCATGAGAAATGCGGGAATAATGAAGTGTTGGCGAAAAACGCCCCTTTCTATGTGCTGAGTGCAAAAGAATACGAAGGGGACAAAATGAAAAATGTCCACGGCAGGGCTTATGACGGTCCGCACTCTTCTCTCTTCTGACGAGAAATCTCACGCTGAACATCCCGTAAGCGGGTGGCACAGTCACGAAGTGCATGTCGCAATAAATCCCACTTATTTATGAAACCAGAAAATTCCGGGGACATTTCTGGTTAAGAAGAGGTGGTGGAAGGAGATATAGGTCGCCCACTTTACTTCTGCGGGAATTTAAGACAAAACTCCTCGCATAAATCGGGGAACTTTCGTACGCGCAGGATTCGTGTCCCGTCGGGTGGTAATTCATTTAATTGTTGGCGATAGCTTAGATAAGAAAATAGTTTCGAAAGCTCAACTTGCTTAGCTGGTGTAAAGATAATGTATCAATTTCGAATTTTTATTTATTGCTTTTTTATTAAATCAAATAAAACAAAGTTCGCAATACCAAATGAAATTGTATTTTATTTATGTATCGGCTGGTTTCGTTTATACAGGGTGTATCTGAATGACTGCAACAAACTTCAAGGGGTGATTCTTTAGTGAATTTTAAGGGTATTTTAATATATGAACAATAGGCGACTTCGGCTCCCGTCCAAAAATGGTGGAAAATTTTGGTTTAATATTTTTTTCTCAAAAACCATAAACGCTGCTAGGAAAATGAAATTTGGGGAATATGTTTAACTCATAATAGGGCACGTTTTGATCCTATTTGTACTTTCAACATGCCCTTCTAGATTTTTTTTATGAAATTGATAAATACATTGGAAAAATTTCAGTTAGATAAAACTATTCTTAAACTTTAAAAATAACAGTAAGAAAAACACTGACATTTAAATGTGAAAAATATTTCTGAAAAAAATTGCAACGCTTACTAAGATTTTTTCATCAAAAGTTCATTCCAACTTTCGATTAACAACCCTACAGCTTAAGAGTTAGTGTTTGCTTAATTGATTTTTTTCTCAGAAATTATTAAATTTTCGAAGAACATTAGAGAGACAAAAAAGTTTTAGAATATTTTCGCCTATCTAAGTGAAATTTTTTTAATGTATTTATGATCTGCCCAAAAAAAATGTTAGCAAAAACGTAAAGGGGGTGGTTACGTTTACTATCTTAGAAGGGAATATTGAAAGTACAAATAAGCTAGAAAGATGCTCTAGTAGAAATCTGCGAGTGTAATAACAGTTCCGAGTTTGCATGTGGGAGGTGATTCCAGGAGGATCCCACACTACTTTTTTACTTGTACATAAAATGTAAATATAAAATAAATACATCATATATTGTCAAAGTTAATGGCAATTCACTCGCTTTTTCAAAAAGACGATGTTATGGTAGTAGTAAGTTATAAAACTGTTTTTATGGTTTATATTGATGACCAATCTCATTAAAGCTTTTGAAATGAAGTATCTACTTACTGTGCAAAAACTGACAGAGGTGATAATGATACCTTTCAATAATGTATAAGCCCATTTTCCTGATGCTTGTCGTCTCAAAACACTACGAGCATTTAGTTTTCAAGAAATTACAACAATTAGTGGAAAAGGAGCTTATTTCCCGTTACTTTGGTTTATAGAAAACCTCTTAACCAACTATATATAAACGCGGACATAATCAAAAAGATATTAGAAGAAAAGGAAAGTTGGTTCTTCAACAGACACCTGCATTAGATCCCAGTTTCTCTTTTGTTATTGTATTTGTCCCTTAATAAAGTGTATTAGATACCTTGTGAAATTCATCGTCATCTATTGTCACCTCCAAGTACATTATGTTTCTGCTCTTTTTCCAATTTCGTGCTGCTGTCAGTTTATCATAATTAGCAAGTCACCCGCATAGGCTGCCTGGACATTTTTATAATCCGTCTCCCTACTAATGCTGATTGCTTTCGTTACGACATCTCCCTTAAAATTATTCATTTCGCTGCTCAACAGCGTCCATAATCACATTTGATATTATCCCTGACATCTTTCAACTTTAAATCTCAACCTCAATATCATCTCAGACAGCCCTTAACATCGTTGTTAATCATATTCTTGCCTTTGTCAACATCGTTCTTAATAATCAATCGTCCCTAACACCACTGAATATCATGCATGGCTCCGCTACAATAATTACGTCGTTTCCCTCAGTATAAGTCGTAAATACCCTTTATATTGTCCCTAATGTCCTTCAAGATCATCAGTTCACCTCAAACATTTTTTATTAATTCGTACATCTCAGCATTGTTTGCGATATTCATCAACATCGTCCCTAAGCTAATTTCTCAGCTAGTTTGGAATGAAGTCTAGCTGGTGCTACGTTGTACGTTGCAGTGTTCCAATACGTATTGTCCAATTAATATGAGCGTGATCGTGGTTTTTGTTCTTTTAATAAATAAACTCTATATTAATAGGTAATAAAATTAATTATAATTTGAGGAACGCTTTGTCTTTAAATAAAATAGTGGGATAAAAAGTACCTTATTAGTATGTCAGCGTAATAATTTCCATAATTTACTAATTACGCGAATTTAGCTTTTGCATCTCTATTTAATCGAGAATATAATCTTAATTTCTTGCAAATTATTATATACTTTTTTTTTAATTTTAGATGCTCCCCGTTGTAAAGTTGGTTTCGAAGAAATGCGAGTAGGAATAATGCATGATGAAGAGATTATAGTACACTGTCACGTGGATGCTACACCGGAAGACGTGCGATTCTCTTGGACATATAATACGAGCAGGGGCGTGTTTCCTGTCCAAGCTGCAAATATTCAGAACAAGGGTACAATGTCGACCCTTCACTTTACTACTAGGAACGTAGACATTGAGTCGCTCTCTTGTTGGGCCTCTAACATCGTAGGACGTCAAGAGGTTCCTTGCTTATTCCACGTCGTTCCAGCTAGTAAGTTAATGAATGTTTTGGATTTTTCCTCACCGAACGTAATTACGCCGTAATGCAGTTAAGTATTAATTTACGGGCTGCCGGAGTCATGTGCTTTCAGGAGAAATCCCGGCTATGGCGTTGCGAACTGAAATGAAATTCTGCAGCGCAACGGCTAGAGATAGAGATTAATTTATAGCGCGCCACAATATGCCAAGCACGACAAAATAATTTAACTTTGGGAAGGTTGCAACCCAAAGTGCGCTTTGCACAATTTAATAATATGATAGGTCGGGCTCGGCTGCGTTTCGGTGCTCAGCATGTTTCCAAACTCCATTGTTATTTGCAGCTGAGAATAGTAGCAATGTTTACGTTTATATATATATATTTATATCAGCAACTTAACACTCAAGTATTTTTAACACCTTTTATTCTCAGTTTTTTTTTGCAATTTAGCTTAAGATCTTTATGATATATAGGTACCTTCCTTTATTTACGATTGCAATAAAAAATGAGCACTTGGACTCGTCGTTTTTCAAAGAAGTTTATAGCATGTTCCCGAAAGAAAGCCATCATTTTAATGGTTTCCATTGTGATAGTTACATTTTAATCCCGACGTAACGGAGACATTACTACGTGCGAATATCTCCGCTTAGCACACGTTTTACATTTAATTTCCATGCAGCCGCCGTACCGGAGCCCCTAAACCGCACTCTGTGCTAAGAAGCGAGCGTCCCGCGTGCTTAATTATTAAACTCCCGGTGCACGTAACGGGCTTATCGTAAGAATTTAACTCGTGTCCACAATTCACGGTGACCGCGTAAAACGGGTGGTTAAATTCAGAAATATTACACTACACCGCATGCTGCTTTTCACTGTATGCGTCTTTTTGTATTCGCTAGGAGAAAATGGCAAAGTAAAACTACCCACTCTGTAAATTCAGCTAAAGCGAGATTTAATACCTCTTCCGGATAGCGGAGAAGGAATTTGCACTTAATATGTTTTAATGCCAGTCCACGAACAGTGTCGCTTCAACCCCTTTATGAAATTCCAGAACTGCAACAAAGAGTTGCTTACTTCTCGAGCAGATTTAGTATAAATTTTATTTTGACGACGACGGCTAGACGTTTATCTTCCTACTGAAAGCTAACACGGTGGCAAAGCACTATGCTTTGAAGCAAAATATTATTTATCAAAAGGGTATTAAAGTGTAACTTAATGGATCAACCGAGTTCTATTCCTCCATCGAACAACTTTTAGGGGTCGTCTCGCTGGATAATTAGCACATTAAGTAGCCGTGAATATTCATGAGGACCGGGGCATGGAAATTGGAATCGAGTGCTAGGAGAATATGGAAATGTAAATACCTAGGTGCCGACGATGCCGCGGTACTGGTCTAGTCGTATGCCCTCTTTCTAAGAAGAAAGTGGAGTTCATAGGCAGCCATTTGCATGAAAATTAAATCGCGACGGCAACATTTTCCGAACGACCAACGATCCAGAACATCGGCATCGTTGCAACCGTCGCCATCCTGTTGTTCACTACGTCACCTTTATTGAATTAATAATTAATAGATTTTAATTAAATTCAAATATACAATTGTATTTCAAAAAATAAAAGTAATTGTAACAAAACCAATAAACGAGAAACCAAAATGTATTCATTGTAGCGAAGTTCATCCAGCCAATTATCGTAGATGTATAATAGCGAAAAAGCTACAAAGAATTATCCAACAAAAGTTACGGTTAACTTTAAGCAAATTAAATGAATAAGCAAGTTTAATTAAAAGCCTTGATGAAAGATGATATAAGATAAAATATTGCAAGCAAAAATATGCAATATGATTCACCAAAAGGAAGTAAAAGCAGTCCTTGACACAGAAAAAATCAATATTTGTCTTATAAGCAAAACTCATTTCACACGGAAATTCTACGTTAAGTTCAAAAGCTACAAATTTTATCATACCACTCATCCAGATAACTCTGCCAAAGGAAGCAGTACAATAACAGTCAAAGGAAATATCTTCCATTATGAAAAACTAGGGAATAATACACCAGAAATACGAACTTCTACGATTAATATAGGAACAAAAAAGCTATCAGATTATAGTATATAATGGCACAAATGCCAATATTGACTGGGAAGCCAACATACTGGCCTATAGAAAACAATAAAATGCCAGACTTGATAAACTTGTACATCGTCAAGAACATCTCTGTCAACTACTTACAAGCAGGGTTGGGATATGGACTCAGATAACTTTCTAATTATTCCAACTCTCAGTGAGAACGTCTTACAGAATCCAACTAACCTTATAGCAGCTGGGTGAGTTTCGCCCCGAGCCCCGAAGAAAAAAAGTAATGTCACTAAAAAGTAACCAACAACTCGATGAAAAGATGGAACTGTTTGTCAAAAAAATACAACAAACAGCTTAGGATATAACCACACTCAGAAGAAGAGTTGCAGGTAATAACTATCCAAAAGAACTATCTAAGAAAGAACTAAAATCTGAAAAAAGAAAGCTTAGAAGAAGATGGCAGCAAACAAGAACACTCCTAGTCAAAGCAGTTGACCAGGAAAGCAGTAGTTAGCCAGATAATCTCAGTCAACACTCTTTTGTACACTACAAAACACCCACACAACCCAGAAGAAACCAGTATATAAGAAGCTGCTGAAGAGTCTATAAATGAAAATTAATATAAACGCTATCAACCATAAGAAATAAGAGAACTTGCAGGAATGAAAAGGAAAAGCTACCTATCCTATAAAAGTTCACCAACAGAAGAGCAACGTATGCTATACACAAGAAAGAAATAGATCCAGATTTCAAAAGACAGTTACAAATAAACAAAGAAAGATACAGTGAATATATTTTTATTTGTTAACAATAAACGCTATGCCATTTTACATTATTTGGTGTTAAAAATCATGTCGGATAAATGACGTCCTACATTGTTGAGACATTGACGAAGCCTTTGCTAGAAGTCTAGTATAGTTTTTCAAGTAATTTCCGCTGGAATAGTATCCAGTAGACCTTGGGGGGTGGGCAGGCATTGTCTTCTCCCAAAGAAAGAAGACGTCCAAGAAAAAATTCTCTTAAAGTTGCTAAAGAACGTCGCAAAGTGAGAGTTTGCCTCCATCTTGTTGGAAATACACTTCTCGAAGGCAGGTCTTCATCATGTGACCTTAGTGTCACACCAAATTACGCAACGTCAAGTCAAACTATCACACGAGGGCTGGGAAGTTCTTGAGTTCTCTGCTACACAGTAACGGAAATTTTGTTTATTTACATCTGATAAGTGAATGTGAGCTTAATCAGACGAAATCAAAACAGAGCCAGCTAGAATGTTCTGTAGAACACTATCACACACAGCTCTCAGTTTCCAAACCTCTCAGTTAATTCTTGGATAACCACCATTTTGTATGGGCAAATGTTTGTGCAGGATTCTTCTTGTACATTTATTCGACAATCCGAAGGCAGCTGCATGTTCAAGTGCTGAACGCGTTGAAGATTGCTGGTTATATGCTCTCACACACGCCACATTTTCGGGGCCGTGGTTGGCCAAGCGATTTTATTTTTCAGATCAAAACGTTTTTCTAAAGTTTGATACCCAAACTTGAACAATTTTTCTATCTGGAACTGAACTGGCCGGTATGGCCATATCGAATAATATTCACAGAACCAATATTATAAATATTTTTCTCTACAACAAACGCTAGGCTGACATGACTTACTTGACTTATTTTCTGTTGTTTTGGAAGAGCATAGGGGGCAGCAGTAAAAGCCCTCCAGCTGGCTCGGTTGGCAACAAGGCGTATTACTTCTTTCCACCTGTTTCTGGATTTTATTGCATCTTCTTTAACAGTTCTCTTCCACGTCCTTCTTGGACGCCCTTGTCTCCGTGCTCCTTGGAGGTACCAGTGAAGCGCTAACATCTCAACTGCTCCATGAGGCTTCTTAAGTGTGAGGCCTGATTTGGTCACTAATGGGTTGTTGGTTTGTTCTCTCTTACAAGTCTTCAGTGGTACTCCAGAAACAGTGATCGACATCGAGAATTAGAAGTCAAACAGATGTTGAAATGATAATAAGTTTTGCTAGAAGATATGAAGACGGACTTCATCATAATGAGAATATTAAGGCTATTGAACTCCTATTGACTCTGAGAATTCAGAGGTCATGAGAAGACTCAAAACACTTAAACCTTTGTTGGTTTAACGGTGTACTTCAGTTAATGGTGACAGAACATTAAAGATATTATTGATTATACTTTAATCTAAGACTACCTTGTAGTAGTAATTTAAGATGGAATAGATTTGCTCATTGATCACGATTGACCAGACTTCAATAAAAATTTAAGAAAAGAAAGATGAGATATAATTTGATATAATAACTATTTTAGGTTTCCTTTTGTTTCTAAATACCCATTTATCTTGTTATATTTACACCCTGTCTGCTTTTCCTTCCTTCTTACTAATTTATTGCTCTTTGTGTAACTCATTCTGCTGCTATAAAACATTATATAAAGAAGATATTTTTCCTTTACTAATTGAAATCTTTATAACTTTTTTATATTAAGCTTTATACTTTGTTTCTTTTAAAGATAGACCTGAATCACCAAGAAACTGTGTTTTGAATAATTCCACAGCTGGTTCTGTGGAAATAGTGTGTTCAGCTGGAGCAGACGGTGGTTTAGCCCAAAGTTTCGTGCTTGAAGTATCGGATCTTACCGGCGTACAAAACGCTGAAAGTATAAGTACGTTAAGTGATCAAGCGGAATATGTAACGCCTCTCTTTCGAGTACTCGGAGAGGAGCCGATTTTTAAACTACACAGTCTCCAACCTGGACGAAGTTATCAAGCCGTCGTTTATGCGCAGAATGCGAAGGGGCGATCAAAACCTCCTGTAATCCTTTCGAACGTAAGGGTGGATAACGTTTTGGAAATAATTAATAGTGGGATAGGTAAGAAATTTGTCTAACAGTTAGATGTGCATGCTTTGAACAAAAAGCCTGAACGAGGGTATTGTACGGCCGACGCATGTTTTCAACCATTTAAAGTTGTTTGCCCGTTGTCAGATCGAAACGCTGGACTCTCCACTTCGAGGTAGGGGAGGCGTCCGTTAATGCCCCGGCCCTTTCATTAGATTCTCGGTCCCCCTCTTAATGTGCAAAAACTTTTCAGGGAGTTACGAAGTTTCATTTATCTAATTCAACGCGTGAAAATAGATGAGTATAACCTAATTAATTACATGGCTACGGAGAACCGGTTCCACGGAGATCACGAGTTAATTGTGTTTTGTATTTTTTTGCTTTACTCACCATTCCAATTTCTCCACGCCTTTCCCCTTATTTCCACCAGGAGCTTTGTTTCCTTAATGCCTTCGGTGTAGCGGATTTCTTAAGGATTAACCTAGTAATCCTCGAGGATTTTGTGGCGTCACAATCCCCGAAGTTCGATGGCTTGCATTTAAAATATTCTCCGAATCCAGTCGTATTTTAATTTTGGTTTAACGCCTTTATATTCCAGATCGAGATAATCTTAATTCAAATGGAATGGAAGAGGGGTTCCCCGTTAAGCAAAACATTACGTTGTTATTAATCACTCTGGTTGCTTCAATATTTCTCCTAATCATATGCATTGTCTGCACAGCGAGTATGTTAGCTTGTAAAAAGAATAATAACGTTGCACAAACGGTCGTTATGAGACGACCGAGGAGGTGTAGTAAACCGAACGAGGATTTGGAGCTGTCCGAGGCGGGATTTGGAGAAGGATTTCATCGGAGAAGTGCTCAGTACAGGGCCAGCATGTACGCGCAAGAAATTGATCAAGACTCCAGCGGTCAGAGGCAAACAGGTTTGTTTTAATTAACCCTAGGAACAGAAAGTGCGACCGCTAGGGTCGGGACCTTCATTAGGAAGGGTTGAATTAGGGCTCTGAGTGATGCATAGGGGGGGGCTTGAACGGTCTTCACCGTTTTGCGTCTGAGTATAATGAGTAATTATGAAAGCAAACAAATTTGGGGGTTAACCTAGGAGCACAACTTAAATTATGCAATAATATGAGTGCTTATTTAACTGCAAAAGAGAAAGTCAATTGTTAACAGAGTCGTACAATGTGGTTAGTAAAATTGAAATCAACCTGACCCTTAGGTATCTTATGTAAGCATCAGTGTTAAGTGATCGTACATTGCTGCTATAAATAATAATAAACCCCGGCGTACCGGAATGCGAGGGAAACCTGGGGATTTGGTCGTGTGCAAGTAGCTGTGGTGCAGTTGGCCTGGGGCTCCCCGCGTTAATTCCGATGTTACCCGAGCGACTGCACACGTGTGTAAAGGAGAAGGGCCGCAGATCGTTTGGTATTCAGGAGCGGATCCTGGGTGCCCTCAGCTGGTAATCAGAGAACTAAATGCCGGCGGTCGTGGAACGCACGTGCTCATAACTGCCTGGCTCGTCAGCGGCAGCGAACCTTAACGCGACAACTCCAGGGACAGAGTACGACGCCGCCTGCATACAACAATGGCGCCAACATTAAACTATTAACGGCGCCTATTTACGTACGTCCGGGAAATTTAAACGACGCGACGCCACCCAGTAGACGCCGACGATAACCGTTACGGGGAACTTCTTGGGGCCTCAGATTGCGGCGATCGCATTTTTATGCAGCGGCATTTACCCTGGCGCTGCGGTTTATTATTAAACGAGGACTACGTTCGAGACGCCGTGTTATAAACCGACGGCATAACGTTACGACACTATACAACACTTGCCACGATCGTTTACATTTTATAATGGAGTATCATAAGATTATACAAATTTTTAAAGTGGTTTACTTATTTGAAGTAGGTACGACAGTCCGGCGCCTTCGCCATTTCTAAGTGAAACTTAATGTTCTATGAGAACGGCCTAAATACATTTTAAATTAAAATTGATTTGAAACTAATTCTGAAATCCATGAAATAATACGATTAATATAAAGATAAAATGTTAAATTAAAGTAATACACGTTTCTTTAACCCTTTCGTTACGGAGTATTTTCAAGATCATATAGCAAGCCCACATATACAAAAACGTATGCGTACGCTCTTAGTAACGAAAGGGTTAATATTGTCTCAGAAAACTTCAAACTTATCGCTTCAGCATTAAAAGGAATTTGTTAAAAAACTTATGTTTTTTGTCATTTTCTTGGGTGATCACAAATAAAAGATAAAATTCAAAAAATCGTGAGGATCCTATTTTTGAAAGTTAATAAATGACTTTTATCCTAATTAACTTAAGCTTGAAATGTTTACTTTAATACATTATACCGGGTGTCCCTCAAAAGTGGCTCACCCCCATATTTTTCTTTATTATTGGTGATATAAGAAAACCATTTGGAATGCATAGTTAGGGTGCTAAAACGGATTATTACGACATGAAATCATTCTTTTTGTACTTCCGGTTATACCGGATGTGAGTACTAATTTCGCTATTTTTTTAAATCTATAATTTTTTTTTCTTCTGTTGGGTTGATAGTATAATTTCACATAACTTTTACTTGAAAAAATAGTAGCTAGGTTAATAGTATAAACTACGTTATGTCCCTCTTGACTTGCTATTTCTCGAGCAGTGATCACTGCTATGCTTTAGTCAGTGGTTCTTTTTTAATAATGGTGTAAATTAACAGTTGTATTAAATTAGTTTTAAAAGAAAAACGCGATCAAACAATTAAGTTTAATTCAATTATTTTTGATTTTTTATTTTTTGTTCTTTTACACTAAATGTTCTGTAGCTGATAGTAACTTACAATGTCCATTATACATTATAATTTGGATTGTTTACTTTATTTTGGTTAAAACCTCTCAGATCACCTGACCTCACTCACACCTTTAGATTCTTTTTATGGGGCAAAATCAAAAATGAGCTGTATAATACACCAGTAAGGTCTCGTGAGGTATTAGAAAATAAATCGAGTTAGAAATTGTATTACCTAAATATCTCCGCAGGAATAACGTCGAGTCGTTAGATCGACAATACGCAAGATACAATTATGTCAAAATCGAGGCGGGAGCATTTTGAAACTTTAGAAAATTAGTTTTTTTGAACTTACAATTGAATTAAATTTAATTGTTGGATAGCGTTTTTCTTTTAAAACTAATTTAATACAACTGTTAATTTACACCATTATTAAAAAAAAACCACTAACTAAAGCATAGCAGTGATCACTGCTCGAGGAATATCAAATCAAGAGGGACATAACGTAGTTTGTACTATTAACCTAGCTACTATGCGTCAAAAGTTATAATACATTTTCCGAAGGTACTAAAACGTTAAAAAATAACGAAAATAATTGTTTTTTTCAAAAATTATAAGCGATCGTGAAAATTTTTTCAAGTAAAAGTTATGTGAAATTATACTGTCTACCCAATTGAAGAAAAAAAAATTATAGATTTAAAAAAATAGCGAAATTAGTACTCACATCCGGTGTAACCGGAAGTACAAAAAGAATGATTTCATGTCGTAATAATCCGTTTTAGCGACCTAACTATGCATTCCAAATGGTTTTCTTATATCACCAATAATAAAAAAAAATATGGGGGTGAGCCACTTTTGAGGGACACCCGGTATAATTCGTTGTTTTGATTTTGATCAGATTTCTTCAAAAGAAGTTGTTTAGTGCTACATACAATTTCTGAGGTAATCACAAAAGTAAAGATAATATTCAAAAATCGTGGAGATCCTATTTTTGAAAATTATGCAATAACTTTTATGTGTATCAAATTAAAGCTTGAACTTTCTACTTTAATTAAGTGTACACGGTGTCTCCCCGTTGAGTTACATAACTTCGTAGGTTTATTCCTTGCATCAAAATTACTGTCTTACTTCTACAATAATTAGCAGAAAGTGTTTTTATTAACCAAGCAATGACGTAAACAAACAAAAACAAAACCATAGCGATCATTAATTGATTAAATCTGCTCAAAATGACGTCCCTGGACTGCCATACACAACTCTGCTCTTCGACTCAGTTCTCCTATCCAGTTAACATTTTCTATGTTTCCACGAACTTCTTGAAATGCTCGATGGATTCTACCTACCAGTTCTTCTTTGGTAGCCGACTTCTCTTGTCCATAACCGATGGTTTTATTCGTTTGATGTTAGCGGCACCTCGTTTTGTGACCTCGATTTAAAATCCGCCATATTATCGCGAGTTACCAAAAGCACAGAATCAAGCTCCGCTAAACATAATGAATAAGATTATCCAACTGCCTATGAACGCTGTTATTATGAACGTATCCTTCTTTAGAGACGTACGGCTAAACCAAAATGTATCTAGTTCTAGGTCTAGTGCTAACATAACAATTAAAACTAGCACTAACACTAGACTTTAGCCGTCTTAAAAGACGTACGACTAAACCCAAATGTTTCTAGTTCTAGGGCTAATATTAGTTCTAGTGACAGTGCAAGTGTAAAACTAGAACTAATACTATACCTAAAACTAGAAATATTTAGTCTTCAGACGGCTAAACCCGAACCTTTCTAGTTCTAGGTCTAGTGTTAGTTCTAGTTTTAATTTTTATGCAGTGCTAGACCTAGAACTAGAATCATTCGGGTTAAGCCGTCTTTAAGACGTGCGGCTAAACCCAAATGATTCTAGTTCTAGGTATAGTGTTAGTTATACATAATAACAGTGCAAGTGTAAAACTACAACTAACACTAGACCTAGAACTAGAAACATTCAGTTTTCAGACGCACATCTCTAAAGACGGCTATTCCGCCAAATCTTTACCACCAATAGCAACATAGCTTAGTAACTCGTTATAACATGACGTCAGATTTGGAGGGAGACTGCCATTGTCACTTCTGGTTATTCTGTGGTTTTAACATTACCCCAGTGGAAACAGTCGAGAGTTGACCCCTCTCGACTGTTTCCACTGGGGCCATGTTCGTCCGGCGAACGCGGGGGCCATGCGACAGCTCCAATCCACCCTATCCAGCGATTTGGAAATGCAGTATTCAAAAGTCGGTTACGACCCTTCCATAGTGAGCCGGACATCCGCCATAGACAAACCACATCCTATTACGCACGTTCAAGAGGATATCTTCAAGAAGTATGGGAATCTCTTTTTCTAAGAATCTCCTGTAGATTAAAGTTTCATCAAAGATTTTCGGTCCCAGGACAACATTTTCGATGATTCCTCTCCACACATTAACCCTCGTCAGGTAACTTTTACGATGTTTATTTTTGTACAATACCTGTGATGTTAAGCTTTGGTGACATCTCTACATATATGTTTTTGGTTATGTACATAAAAAATTATAAAAATATTTTTACTTACTTTTGTATTATGTGATCAAATAGATTTTACATCCTCAATTGACGACAAAGTTACAATTGTACCTTTAACGATATTGTATGAAAACAGTGTAAATAATAAAAGTATTATGAAAGAATACTTATTTTATTACGTAAAAGAGTGGATACAAACAAAATATTATTATCATATTTATATAATACTTAAAATAATTAGTTAATTTTGATTAGTTTCATCGTAATTTTCCCAACATTTTGTCCATAACATCAACTCCTCCTTTAGTTTTATTGTAATACTGGATTATTTCAGGTTTCTTTGTTTGCGTGTCTTCCACTTCTCCAGTCATGTGCATGGATGATGAAGCACTACCGCTTTATTTTTTTTTTTGGTACATATGAACATACTATAGCATTACGAGTATACGCAAAATTCGTTGAGTAGACAAGTCTTTCTTTATTGCTCTGCATATTCTTCGGTAGGAATCTTTTATTTTTTCTTACTGTACCAGCTAGAGTCATGTTCCAGGAATTCAAAACCTTTGCCAATTCTAAAGTTGTAGTCGAAACAAAATTATTAGTCGTGACGTTTCTTCCAGATCTCTTGTACGGGCTAACTAAGTCTAATACTGTTTGTTCACCAACATTCACTTGTCAAGGACCATATAGTGGTTTGCCAGTGTGAAGCTGACCTCGTAGCGGATAGCTAGAGGATGCATCCCAAGCCCAGAAAACTTTTATCCCGTAATTTGCCGGTTTGGAAGGTATATACTGTATAAATCTAGTACGACCTCTGTAGGGAAATAATTGTTCGTCGATAGTGATGCATTCACGCGGTTTATATGCGTTTTCTAAATTTTTGTTTAGTATTGCCCAAATATCCCGAATCGGTGCTGCTTTATCAGTTTTTGTCCGTTCTTCACGAGTATTTGCATTATCGAATCTGATAAATCGCAACACCATTTTGAACCGGTCACGGGACATTGCTGCGCGAATTAAAGGCAGGGCATCAATTTTCCACATGTCGTTCTAATTTTGCTTATTATCTCTGTGGACTCCACTAATAATCAATGCCCCTAAAAATGTGTCAAGTTCTACTTCAGTGAAGTTTTTGAATGTCTTCTGTAGTGTAAATTTGTTTACCAACTCATTGTTATAACTTTCACAATTTCTGTTAGCCTTTTTATTTGTGTCTTGTAATATAATGGTATACACCTCTCGAGATAGTATTGATTTGAAAATTTCTTTAGGTGTATACATTTTACTCTTCGCCGTAGGTCCTCCTTTTTGGAGTAAAATATTCCTCGATGTTGTTTGAGTTTTTTGATATGGTGTCGTAGTATGCCACTCTGTTCCATCTTTAGCAGTAACACTTTGGTATTTATTTTCAACAGTGTCGTCAGAATCGTATTCACTTTCTTCCTCTATAACTATTTGTTGTTCACTGTCTGATTCCTCAATAGTGCATACATCTAATAGCAAATAGTTTTCGTCATCAGATGCAACATATGCCTCTTCTTCATACTCAGAATCAGAATCTTCTTCAATGATTCGTCTGCACATGAAGCCAATAAAAATAAACAAATAAATAATGTAGTAGATATTTATAAGTAACAATTTGAAAGGTAACAGTAACTAAACAATACTAACCTGCAGTATCGTTTTCCTGTGTCCCGTTGAACGGGACTACATATATAATGGGTGGTAAATGCACGACGAAAAAAGTCTTATATTTGAATTTTTTGAAACGTGACTTTAACTTACTCAAATCAAGAATGAGTGTATTTTACCAAAACTCTCTTTTATAACGCTTAAAAGGATTAGTGGAGGGAAAGTTATAAAAAAATTTAAATATCAAAGTATTTAGATGTTTCCCATCTGCGCTGGAAATATCTCAGGGTGATGTAAACTTTATGACCCGGTAATATAAAAGGACAATAGGAGCAAAATGAGTTAAAAATAACAACTTCGTACCGATTACTTCATGGGGTTGCTTTTGTAACAAAACAAATAAAAAAGACAAGTACAGTTGTAGCTGTTCCGCCTGTTAACGTTTTAAAATTATGCACTCGGACAAGGGGTAACCGAAAATCGGTGCAGGAATCTATTTTATGACAAAGCATGGGGATTTTCTTCGCTCTAGATGTGCTCGTTAGGTGAGTTGTTAATCCCATCACGAGTCAAGGTAGACACATCCGCGAATAATGCAATTAGGAAGAGATCCTGGTTCTTTAGGATCCACGAGCAAAATTCTTCTCGTTTCGCATAGTCGCTGGTAAGAGATTTTGTACTTGTTTACGTGGTAAGGATGTAGCCCATTTTCACGCAAAGTCCTGTGAATCGACGCTGTTTTTTGTCCTGTGGCGGCAACCATTCTTCTTATGCTGGTTCTCCGATTCTCAAAAATTTCATGAAGAACAGCGTCAGTGTGATTTCTTCGCGCAAGCTCTCACTCATTAATCTTTTTCGGAATCTTGTTAGCCGGAGCGATCTAAAACAGTTCATGATGATTGCGACAAGGATGTCTTCGGTTCGGATAGCGTTCTGCGTACTCTCTTGCAGCTTCTGAAGCTTTTCCTCCACAATAGTCATACAAAAATATCATGTCCGTGTACTCTTCATTCGTAAAAAGAGGGATTTTTAAAGGTTCTACGAGTGGAATCTAATGACAAAAATACTAAGAAACTGCTTCATCGACAACTGTCAAAAAGCCAACTTCATGCGCATTCCATCTAAAATGATTAAAATTAAATTAGTTATGATAACTAGTGACTTTCAGCGCTTTTGACCCGCATATCTCGAAAACGGTTGCGAATTGCACCTATGTTGACTAATTTTGATGCAAGGAATAACCCTATGAAGTTATGCAATTCAACAGGGAGACACTCTATATAATTCGTTGCTATCATTTCAATCAGATTTCTTTAAAAACAATTATTTACTGATACACACAAATTCTGATGTAATTACAATAAAAAAGACAAACATTCAAAGAATCGTGGAAATCCTATTTTTGATAATTATGCAATAACTTTTATACCAAATTAAAGCTTGAAGTTTCTACTTTAATATGGTTCGTTGTTTTCATTTTGATTAGTTTTCTTCAAAAAAAATTATTACAACACACAAATTTTTAGGTGAGTATAAAAAAAGATAAAATTACTATATTTATCGGTTTGAGTACTAAACTTGATTTTTGAGCTCCAGTAAGGTGAAAACACAATTTTACTAACCACATTATTTGCCGATGAATCCGATGATAGAATGTTGTTTCGATAAACTGATTTAAAAGTTGTTTCCATTTTTAGTTTTTTATGGATTTGTTTGACGTCTGTCTATGTATATAGAAACGGTTTTATGTGGATTTTAAAACCGATACGTATCCGTGAAAGGTAATTTATTTTTTTACGCAAAACTTATTTATGCAAGGGACATGTACAAACAAACATTCTTTCAACGAAAATTGCACTCATTAACCGATTAAGCATCCCTTCATTCTTTATAGCTTTGGACGATGACAAACCTACCACGCACAATCCTTTAAGTCCGTCTGACACCGAAGAAATCAAAAACGGGTACATATCTATGTTGTATAATCGCTTCATCTTTATAGCTTAACTCTTTAAAAAAAAGGATAATTTCATCACTGAATTCGATTTGTCCATCCTAATAGCTTTCACTGGGCACACCAGGTAGGGGAAGGTTTCCGGGTCACGACCCATAATTAGTTACCCAGAAATGGCGAACGAAAACGCCAGATTAATTCGGCAGTAATCAGTGGCGTGTAATTCAATTTTCCGTGACCAAATTAGCCGAAAGAAAATTATGCCCCTCGCTGATGTGAAGTACAATCGCACCACCGCAACTACCTCTGTCCATGACCTAACGAACCTTCATTCGATTTTCTGCGAACTAACATTGTTTTTTCCTATCTCGCTGTTGTAACTTTTCGTGAAAATAATATGAATGCGCAGAAATTTTATTAACGATGATATTTCCCTTTTATCGTTTCAGGAGATGCAATTGCAAGTTGTTAATGGATCTTTTAGTAAGTGCAATTTTAATTTATATCGATGTTGCTTTTGTGTTTTAATTAGTTACAGTAACAATCTTTCTTCCCAACAAAATATAAATTGAAAATAGCCATTCAAATATATTTAGGGTCAATTTATTATGACTGAAATCTTTCTTACTAGTAGATTTATCTTTATTTATTGCTATCAATTTACATGGTATCTGTAACATTAAAGACTATAGATCAAGCTTCGGACCTTTATCAGTGACCGGATATAAAAAAGATGAATGGGTTTATTTTTATTATATCGCCTTCCTTTTCTACCGTAGAGGGAAACTTACTGGGATATTTATTTTATTTATTGGAAAACGTTCGAGTTAAAGAAAAGCTTTGGGCCGCTGAAAGCGGTCCTCAGTGCTCGGCAAGCAAATTTGTACCAGCTCGAGTTCGGATGAGGTTGACCTCACATAAACAGGGCACAATCTATTGCCCAATATCGATTGCGAGCACGCAGCTTGCCCATCTAGCACTCCCTGCTGAATATTGAAACTTATTGGTATCCTTAAATCGATTCTCCTATATGTAACAATAAAAGAAAAGTTTTCATGCAGGGTGAAACAAAGAATTTTTAACATTAATAAGCAAACATTTTCCACAAAAATAATTAATAATAAAGGTAAGCTATTTAGTAAATTTATCATGTGATTATTACCCTCAACAGAGAACGGCACAGCAGTGGCGTATACCGCATAGAAGATTACGCCCTTACGCTAATCGCGAGATAGGGAGATGGAATGGAGGGTTGCCTTATAGCATTTAGGGCACATGAAGGGGTGTGCTCACCTAAACAACGCTTTTTCACGACAGTTTCCCCTTCAAAATTAGATCACGACCGCGCGGTACTTTCTTATCAGATCCCCGTCCCTTTCTAGTGTAGGGAAATTCAGAGCGCCCGCGGGACCTATCCTGGAATAATCCAAGCATCGATTTGTTGTCCCATCGATAATTAACCCAATTTAAAAGAGCACGCTTATTAGCGATTTATTCAAACTAGGTGCAAATAACGTCGAAAAAGAAAGAAGGGTAAATCTATGGTAGCAAAAGATATAAACTGCAGATTGTCCACGATGGCGGTTGAATGAAATGGGTCGAAGGGAATGACCCCTTCTGACGGATGAATGCGGGGTTAAATCTTTAACAGATGTCCACCGAATCGGGTAGGCTTTCCTTGAAGCTTTGTGCGAACTAATTCGGGCCCAATCTTATCTTTTGCTCTGGACGACCCATTGACTACGTGATCTAAAAGCAAAGGCGAGCTGGGGAGTTCGGATGTGTCAAAATAACCCGTTGAATAAGAAGCTAAAGCTATCACCCGATTTCCTTTATTCCGTCCCAGTTCGTTTCGCAAATTATTCACTGTTTCATTATTTTATTTTTATTTTGCAGGTCCAGACTTAATTTTAACGCCATCTTGTCTGCACCAAAGAGGAAACGAGTATTAATCATTACAGTAGACTGTCTTAAAACAATATTTATAACAGATAAATCATATTAAATTAAAATAGTCTCTCATTCCAAAGTAATCAAGTTTAGAACCTTTTTTTTAGTTATTTTGCAATAAATAAAATAGATTTGTAAATATTGAAGCATTTAGGATTTAGACCATTATATTTTCTAATATTCGATTGTATTATAATTATTTCTCATCATAAAATATTTAAAAAAAATTGGTGTCCCAAAATTCCGTGGATTTAAAGTCATTTATTTTTTGAAGTTTTTTAGAAAATGTGTGTTGTTTCAACTTTAAAGATAAAAAAATTAATTCCGTATAACACAGAGAACTTGATAATTGTAAGACTTCTTCTTTCATTGTAAAGAATGTTCAAGTCTAATTTCCAAGACGCCGCATCTAAGAAGAATAAGATACGTTCATAGATGAATCGACTAAGGATCTAGTTTTCACCTGGAAATCAGCGACAAGATTTAAACTATCCAAAGATCATAGAACCAGCATATGTTAGTTTCTACTAGTTTTCCATTAATGCCTTTTTGTGTCTGTAGACCTAATATGACTCGTTTATCTCCAGGTTTACCTCATTCTCCAATCATTGCCTGACATTAGGTTGCTACTCAAAGTTCTTCTACCTATTTCGGCTATCTTCCATTTGACACATGTCCAAAATTGCGTCGCTTATATCCGTTATGTTGCTTATAACAGTGCATAGCAATTTATCAGAAAACCCTATGTAGTGCTTAAACCAGTACACACTGCAAAACACATTACTAAAACTATTAAATCAAAATTTAATTATATGCGTCATCACGGTATTCATACAAAGTGAATGTTGTTGATGGGGATTTTGTGTTGTTCCTAGGGGGTTAGTCCAGCTATTTGATTAACAAGTCTCTGTGAAGAGTCCGTTAACATTTGGCATACTTTTCTGGAATATGGACACTCTTCTGTAGGATATTTTAGTATTTACAGTGTTTGTCGTTCAATGTTGCAGTATGGAAGTAGTAATGTGGTGGAAAGTGGACATCAACATTCGTAGCCTTATCCAGGTTGTATTAAGAAGAACCGTCCAAAAGTTGCATATAAGCTCCATTATGTTACTTATAAAGGAACCTAGCAGTTTATTTGCCAACTCCTCTTTTTAGTCCTTGAACCAGTACGTTGATGTTTTCTCGAAAACGTCTTGCCAAATCAGTAACAACCCATATATTAGCAACGTTTCCGCCGATGTTGTTCTGGATTCTCCATTTCATCTTATTGAAACTCACTGCAAAACATATTACTAAAACTATTAAACACAAAGGTAATTATATGCGCCAACACAGTATTCATACATAGTGAACGTTGTTGATAGGGATTTTGTGTTGTTCCTAGATCAAAATTTCTATTGCATGCATGGCAGTGAGGTAGTTAAAGATGAAGTTTTTTTTGGTACATGTTCAGTTATTTGTTAAGTCAGCTATTTGATTAACAAGTCTCTCTGAAGAGTCGCACCACTTCTTAACAACATTTATTACCAAGCAAGTATTATTTATTCCATTGTAATTTCTGTTGTAATGTTAAACTCCGATAATTTTGAGAGTGACGGAACTCCGTCGAAACTTTTGGGATAGATAAATACTATAATGACTCTGTCGCATGCGAACTCGACTTAAATTTGAAGAAATAATTTCTGATCAAACTATAGGCGTTTACAGCTGAGGTGATACCATCGATATAAAATTACTTAATTTTCATAAATTAACTTTTTGTATTTTTAATTCAATATTGCAGTATTGAAGTACCAGCCGAGTTCTGTTCACTACAATCGGCCGTAAGCAATGAAAATCCTTCGAATTCGTGTAGTTTAGTATCAATATGGTGTGGATGTAAAGCCTCAGCCGCAAGTCACCTCGGCTTACTTATGATACATATTTTTGAAAATTGAGTTGCTTTATGTTGATACGAGAGCGAAGTAGCGCCTCGGCCGAATGTGACCTCGGCTTATTTATGATACATATTTTTGAAAATTGAGTAGCTTTACATGGATATGAGTACAATGTAGAGCCTCGGCTGTAAGCGACCTCGGCTTAATTAGGATATAAATTATTCGAAATCGGGTAGTTTAGCGTCGATACAACACAATATCAACAACACACATTTATTAACAACGTATAAATTTAAAAATTATTTTTAAGTTTTACTGTTAATAGCCAAATGTAGTAACTTGATATATCCACTAGATATACTCCATATCCACGGAGTTTTTGGGACACTCATTTTTGAAAACTTTCATCATAGATACCTATTTAGTTTTATATTAATAAATAAATTAACTTCGAAGTAGAGTGAGATGTGCCATATTGACATATAAATCAGCAAATCCTGTATTTTCTCAACAATAGTGTTTAAGTTGTACATATTAAAATAAAAACAGAGTGGTTTTGCTAATAAATCAATTGTTTTATTTCTTATAATCTAAGGTGTCTTTATTCTTTACTTCGCTTAAACAATCAGTTTGTGGGATAACATCATTTTCACTCAGTCTGACAGTTAAGACAGATAGAATGCATTAAAACTTCTAACGTAATGGTTTTTTGATGTACGGCACAAGTTTTTAAGACGGAAAATTTATTACTGAAAATAGTTTTATTTTAGAAAATGACAAGCCAACTTCATAAGGTTTCTTGCTCCATTTTATATGGTTGGCTTGCTACAACGAGAAATCGTCTCCTTTTTAATGATATTACAAAATTTATATGGTCCAGTTAAAATTAGGTTCTTAGAAATATGTAACTTTTAGAATTATTTATCCGATAAAAAATAAAAGTTTGTTCTCTTAACCGCATTTGAGTAGCTCGATGGACGTCTGTTTAGAATTTAAGTACGTAATTTCGTTTAAAGGCGGTCATATAAAATCGATGTCCCGGGACCTGACGTGAGATGAATCTAAAATTGAGAACGCCTGCGTGGCGAATTCAACCTACGTCAACGTTTAATGGAATCTACGCTGGTACAGCCCATAAAACACGGTTCCCTTGCAAACACAATCGAATTGTAAGAACAACACGGTCGGATCGATAAATTGAGGTAAAATTAAAATTTTAATCCAACCTTAATCTTTGTTATAGAATTAAGATCATTAAGAAAAATGTCACGATACAGAAAAGGTAAAAGAGCGTACCGATTCTTTTATTATTGGTCGCTTTGATTAGAGACTGCTAGCGTCAAACTGTAAGTGAAGTTGCGGAAATCCGGGCCAACAAAGAAAGGAACTATTTCCCGAGATCTCAAGGAGGAGAATTGTGCAAGCGTTTCAAATAAAGAGAAGACTGATGGCGCTATCGCTTACTGGAGACTTGCGCCCGCCCGATCCGTTGTTAAAAATGACAATTGCGCCGTATTTCTTCCCGTAAGTCGGGGGACGGACGTAATGGTGCGTCCCTCCGTGGGCATCCATGTAACCAGAAGCCGAAAATGATCGAGCGTCGGCATCAATTCGATTTTTCAATTCCGCATGCATGCACTGACCAAACAAAGAAGCCGGCAAAGCTGTCGCCATTGACCCGGTCAAAATGGCGAAATATAAATTCGCCCGTTTCAGATGCATTAAATCGTAGCCATCCGACAATACTGGAAGCGACGATCGGAAATAGAGGGGAAATAGCACATTCGATGCCCGCTATCTTTATTTCGGCTCCCCAATGTTTAGTGACCCAGTCTTAGAGAATTATTTTTAATGAAATGTAAGCATAAAATTTTGTTCCTTCAATAAAAAAACATAAACACAACTTTTGATTACTTTATTTTAAGTAGCACCGTTGTATTTGTCATGGGGAAGAAGTTGAAGTCTTGGCGCCGTGCGACTATAATAAAAGTATCCTTCTATCTAGTCCAGTGAAGTCAGCGTACCGTGAGGAGTGGATAAGGGTCTACTAAAACTTTGATTCATGGAAAACTGCATAATAATTCCCAAGAGCTCCTTAGACCCTTAAAGTTTCGCGGATTTTATGGCGTCTGGTCCACTTGAAACGCTCGACGACGAATTTCAAACACTGCGGCCCGTGTATAAACGTCGGATTTGACCCACTCAGTTTGTCCGAGGGGGGCATTAAGTGGTATAAAGGTGAAATTTTTGTATTTCGGGTTACGAAAGACGTGCTCGCGTAGAAGGTTTCGCGGTAATGAAATAATCACTGCACTAGAGAGTACGGACCAACATCGAGGGCAAAGTTGAAAGTTTAAATTTCCACATGGGAAGCATGAGGGTTAAAGTTAAAGTCAACTTTTGCAATTAGGAGGGGAGAAATTAAAGGCTAAAAATAATTAAAGAGGCGGCGCCGCCCTCGGTCCGATAATCAGAAACGAATAACTTTTTTATCGACTTAAAACTCTCCGAATCGACCTGACGAGGCTCGCTCTCTAATGCAGTCGAAACCTAATTGCCTCTCCGCACTTTGCCCATTTCTTGTTACTCCATTCGAAGTAATTAAATTTCGATTTAGGTGCTGGGATAACTTTGGTCTTTAATAACTAAAAATATTTAAATCACTAATGGCGATTTCTTAGTAACATTTACATTCAACTATCACTTTCAATCGATTTAATAATTTGCGCAAACGTTACGTCTAACTCTAATACGGTCTTAGAGATGAATGAATCCACCAAGTCAAATATCTGGCACTATCTGATGGACCCTGATGGTCGGTACGTTTTGACTGACCGACCTTCATTTATCACTCCACAGATAAGTTAGAACGCTACATTAGTTCACTTATATTGTATGTCAAACCACGGTCATTCACCTGATTTTATCATTTGAGATTATAGAATTTATTGCTGTTTGCAATTTCTCATTTTAGTTTTAATTTTAAAAAGAAGGTAGGAAATTTGTTAAAATGTTACCTTTGCACGATTTCATATACAACGGGAAAATATTAGGGTTCCACAAACATCTAAAAATTCGCGAAAAATCCATTTTTCAGCATATTGCTATGATATTTTTAGCATATATAATAAGTGGCTTATTTTATGTTATTATCACTAATATTACATAGTTACACATTCGTGAGGTATGATAGGCTGTGGTGCCGCCTCCTCCTCAAGAGTATCTGTGAGTACCTGTAAGGAAAAGGTAAAACTTTCAAAATCCAGAACAAAGATTTTTAATTTATGAAATTATCAAAAGAATTAAATTTAAGGAAAAGAAAATGAAACTTTTTTAATATTTTGTTTGTTAACGGTAGAAATATACAACTTTTCATTTAAAACAAATGCAGGTTGAAGACGATCGATGCAAACTGTTAAATTTTTGTTATTTCGAAAAATGGTGATATGTTTTTAGTATTTTTTAACTACTTCGAATGGTCCTTCAAATCAATGGGAACAATGCGCCTCTCATACCTTCCAGTTTAAGAAATACATAGTTGGATTTAAACAAATCTCTGTGAATGAAAGGTTTTGTTGTTGAATGAGATGAAGTTGGGCACGGTTTTAATTTTGAAAATGTTTCGCGCAGATTTGATAAAAAATTCTCCTGGTAAATGTAGCGGTTGACCATATATTAGTTCGACGGAAGAGCATCCAAGATCTTCTTTGATAGTAGACCTGTGTCCAAGAAGGATCATTGAAAGCTCTTCATATCAGCGATTTGAAAGCGAGAAAAAATTGGTGACTCAAATTGTCTGCCTCTATCGTGTGTGGTAGTATGTGGAATGCCGAATCTGGAAAAATGATGATGTAAAAGAGTAATAGCGATTGTGTTTGCTGATATATGTTTTACAGGGAAAGCTTCTGGCCAACGTGTAAAACATTCTAAGACCGCCAGAATGTAAGAGTAACCCATTGAAGATGGAAGAGGAGATCTATGTAAATGTGTTCAAATCTACCTTTCGGAACAGTAAATTTTTGAAGCGGTGATCTTGTATGTTTGTGTATTTTTGATTTTTGACAACGAAGGCAATATTTTGTCCAAAGATATATGTCCTTGTTCATTCACGGCCAAAAATACCGTGTTTTGAGTGAATGTTGAGTCGCACGAATTCCTAGATGAGAAATGTGAAATTTATCGAAGATAGTATAACGGAATTTTTCAGGGATATAAATTCTAGGAGTAGAAGAAGAAGTTTCACACCATATTTTCAATTTAGAAAATGAAGTTTCTTCTTGTGAAAGAATAACTTTGTTGATTCCCAAAGATTGTATTTGTAACAGCTTTTTTAATTGTATGTCATCTTCTTCTGCAGCGCGTATACTTTTTATATCGGGATAAAAGGAAGTTAAAGATTCTAGCCGTGAAAGAGTGTCTGCTACTATATTAGAAGATCTTTTTATGAATCTGATATCGGATGTATATTGAATAATATAATGTAAGTAACGAATTTGACGAGGTGTTTTGTCTGATTTAGAATGTATAGAGAAAATAATGGTTTATGGTCAGTGTAACTTGTGAATTGGTGTCCGTGCAAGAAGTGTTTAACAAATTTTATTGCTGAACATATTGATAAAAGTTCTCTGTCAAACGTAGAATAATTTAATTGGGATGACGAAAGTTTTTTAGATAATAATCCAATAGGTTGTGTATAATTATCTATGGTATGGGAAAGTACTGCACCAATGGCTGTAGATGAAGCATCAGTGGTTAATGATAATTTCGATGAAGGTGAAGGATGGGCCAGAATAGCTGATTGTCCTAAAAGTGATTTGGCAGATGAAAATGAATGTTCATGTTCTTCTGACCAATTATCTATTTGTTTTTGAGCATTTTTGTGTAAAGAATTTGAAAGAGTATACAAACAACCAAGAGCCTGAGAAAAATTGGGTACAAAACTGTGATTAAAATTTATCATACCTAAAAATCTGTGTAATTCTTTAAGCCTTTTTGGTGTCGGGAAATCATTGACTGCTTTTATTCTACTTAGTGAAGGACGAATTCCTTCTGATGAAATATTGTGACTGAGGAAGTCAAGTGATTGTACGCCAAAAATGTTTTGATGTTTATACCAAAATTGTTTAACGTTTCGAAAAGTTGTTGCAAATGTGACGTATGGGTATCTTCATCTTTATTCGCAATAAGGATATCATCTAAGTACACGAAAATAAAATCTAAACCTCTAGTAATTTCATTAATAAAACGTTGGAAAGGTTGTGTCGCATTTCTGAGGCCAAAAGGCATTCTAGTGAACTCGATGAGACCGAATGAGGTTGTGATAGCGGTCTTAAAAATATCTTCTTCTGCTACAGGAATTTGATGGTAAGCTCGAACTAAATCAACTTTTTTTAAATCTTGTATGTGTGGCAGCGGATAACGATCCGGAATAGTTATTAAATTTAACTGGCGATAATCACCGCAAGGACGCCAATCTTCACAGTCTTTTTTAGGTACCATGTGTATGAGAAGATGAAGGACGGCAAATTCCAAGAGAGATCATTTGATCGAATTCTTTCTTAGCAATT